CAAAGCACGGGGAACTTTTGGCCGGCGGGGTTCACCCCTCTGTGCCCTTGCACCATTTTAGTTTTGTCCATATACTACGTTCCTTTAACCCCCAAAACCCCCCCCCCCCCCCCCCCCCCTTTTTTTTTTTTCCAATTTCCCGCGTAAGGGAAAGAAGAAGAAAAGAAGAAAAAGCTAACAGCCCTGCACAGACTCGCATACAACCTCTCTCCGTCCTTCAACTGGAAAGCCGCGATGCCGCGCGACGACCAAGAAACATACATCCGACGGCTGGCTAAACTAGGGTACTGCTGGCAGTTTATCACGCTGGCGGGCCTACACACGACGGCGCTCATCAGCGACCGGTTCGCGCGGGCGTACGCGGCCAACGGCATGCGGGCGTACGGCGAGCTGGTCCAGGAGCCCGAGATGGAGGGCGGCGTGGACGTCGTCAAGCACCAGAAGTGGAGCGGCGCGGCGTACGTCGACGAGCTGCAGAAGATGGTTACGGGGGGCGTGAGCAGCACTGCTGCGATGGGCAAGGGGGTTACGGAGGATCAATTCCATTAGGTGGTAGGTGGTGGCCTAAGAAAGGGGTAGATGATATATCTACATAAGAGCCTGTGGGGGGTTTATCTATCTAAGGTGGAGAGGCATGTTGTTGAAAATCACGGCATTATACATAAGTATAGCATATAGTTTGCCGCGATGGGATGTCGGCGGCTTGGTCTGGGATGTTTAATCGAATTGGATATGAATATCGTTTTATCTGCCCTCCTCTTTGGATAGGTCTTTTACCTCGAGGTCTGAAGTGCATTCTTCCGGAAGGGAGTTAACTAGTATTTGTAAATGAGACCTTTTTTAGGTGGATGGCTATTGTGTCGTGATTTGAATGAGTGGTATTAACGTAAAAGAGTTACTATCCCTACCCCTTACGTCGGAGAGGTTATATTAGATTCTCAGACCTAGCAGAACTAATGATAATTAAGAAATATTATTAGGCAGTATAGCACACTTCGCATTAACTTTTAGGTTCCGGTGGTAGATGTCAATACCCCCTTAACTGGCATACATGATACGACTGCACTCCATTATAGTAATTACCGACGGGATTTAGACATGTTACATAATTCCATTATTATCACATACTTATACCACTCTTTTTGAGGTGGCATGGTGATACACAGAGTAAAGATTATAGGTATGGTGGTAAATTTTGTAATTGTCTACTTACATGATAAGACCTCAAGATCTAACTAGGTAACTAGACAAGTTTAACCCACGGTATACTCAAAGGCATCAAGTAGATAGGTATCATGTAAACCATAATGCGAGTATTACACCGTTACCCCCATAGTAATTCTAATATATTTTAAACGTCCAATAAAGGTCCTTGACTAGAAATGGTAGAGCGTTGAAAGATGCGTTGGTAGAGGGGACCATAGACTACAACAGAAGTCGCAATAAACCCCGTCATACATTCGACGGTAGAAAGGTAATTAGGGTACATACGATCCCCTATAGCGATGAGTAAAGGTAACCAATATTCGGTTTATTAGATTATACGATTTGTAGACTCACAGCTGCCATCTATTATTACTTCACTAGAACCGCTGAAATACTTGATTTGAACGAGACACACTACACAAGTGCTGTGGTATATTAGCAGTGTGACGCACAATGAAGTGTTTAAACTAACCTGGTACCTATTGTAAACGCGAAAATTAACCCCCATTTCTTTTGCTTGCTTATTTGTAGCCTCCGTATCAGTGGAATAGGCATACTTAGGATCATGACATCAGTGACGATGTTTTCAACATATCCCACCACTCCCACGATGCTTGAGTTTATACATCTCGCAGGCAATGTTGGGTTCCATAAATGGGCAATTGGTATGCAGTCGAGAAAGATCGTGAGGGTGTTCTGGATTGCGAAAACAGCCACCAGTGCTGCTACTACCCATATTAGGCGATTAAACCAACGCGAGGCCCCAAAAATATTTCTGTATAAGCTGAGAATGCTGAGCTTGAGGAAAGTTACGACCGGCACGTAAAAGAAACGAAAAAGGACAGTCGTCTACCAAGAGACATGCACAATTAGCTATTGTTCACTCAGCAACTGACATTCCACGATAATTCAAGGTATTGTAGCACTTTTACCCTTACATATAAAATCATGATATAGATGGAATGTAAAGGTATAAACTCACAATAGAGAAGAGACGAGGATCGGAAATAAATATAACATGACGTCCTAACCCGTACCTAGTTGCGAGGCAGCCAGAGACAGCATATCCGATTAAGAACACCTTGGAAGATTAGCCGTATAACGTCAGAACCAAGAAGAGACACATACCCACGCGGCCACTGCAAACCAGTCGCTTGCCATAAGATGCATACGACCGTGCTGTATATATCGTGACCAAAGACGCAAGGCAACGCAGAGGGTACCTATAAACGCAGCGATGGTAGCGCAAGCAATAAAACTAGGACCGCGATTATCACCAGCATGCTCAAGCATCCACGCTATTTCCTCAGCATTGGGAGGTCGTGGCCCGGCCATTCTTCTTCAAGATCGAGAGATAAATTCAAACATGGATAAACGAGCGGGATACGATTAGTATCGGTGTATCTTTATTATTATATATAGCCATAAGTAGCGTACTCCTAAAGCTGGAGGATTGCAGATAATCAAGAGTTAGAATATTGAAACTACCTATGAAGCTTCTATTCTATTAGGCGTAATACACGGGTCGATCTGTATACTCTGTTCCCTAAGACACTGAATCAGTTGAATGTCTTTGTTTCCCCCTCATGGCACGGCTGGACCTGTTTTTGGTTTAGCATAATTGGTGATAAAGAGTGAAGACCCCTCCTCGGAGGGGAACTGTCGAGATTTGAGACAACGACGACAGGTAAGCATATAACGTAGATCACTCCAAAGAAAGTAATTATACACGATCACTTATATAACACGAAGTTTATGAGATAAAGTACTCCAGTCGGATTTAAGAAATAATAGCTAGTGGACTACTTCGTATTGATTCGTTTTTCGCTTGTCTATTGTTTTACCGAGCTTCTATTTGTGAAATGAACCTTACGGTCCGTGAGATATCACGGAAGAAGAACCTCTATTACTTAAAGGCTTCTTGAATCATATCTATCTACTAGACTCCAAGATTTACAGGTAGCTTGGCTTAATGCAAGTTTTATTTCTAAGCCTCATTCTTATCTATGCCGAGTCAAATGTTGACAATGCTGTATAAAAATAACATGATAAGACATAACGGCAAGCAACAAAAAAAATAAGCTTGACTTACCGCATATGCATGATCCTCAGTCCATGTCCCGATTAAGAAGTATCCCGAACGAACGGTCAAGCACGCGATTCCACGGTGAATGTGCGATGCGGCCATGGCTACTGTCCCTTGCATAGGCCCGCGCCCCGGCGCCAATCATATCCCGTTTAGGTCGTAGATTTATCTCGCGAGGATGGAGAGCAATCATTGAGAATTTGGAGTCGACAAGGGTCTTTGTCCAACGTCAGCATCCAGGTCCTAGGCGAGATCTCCGCATCATTCCACCCATTCCAACCACGAATCAGAGCTTTCCAAGCTCGGGAGCTGTCTGCCTATTAGAGACTGATTAAGATCCCAATGACGGATCGCGAGCCCAGCCGGTCGAATAGACACGAGAACGCCAAGTTCTCACCTGCCTTTTTCATATAGAGAGCTCCTAGTGCTGAGCTCTTTACCCGCCGCGCCGTTCGGTTCGTGCGATAGAAGATAGAAAATGGCGGGATTCTAGCTCTTAGGCATGGTCCAGGTCTATGGAAATTACAGCATGGCGCAATCCCAAGGGATACCGATGTAATCCACATGCGTGATGTTGATGCTTTCCCCTGGTCATACCCCGCCTCGCTTTCCAGCCTTAGCTCTTTGTTCGTAGCTAGTATTTGATGGCGCCCTGGGCCTTCTCTTTCGTAGAGCTTCTTGTTAAACCTTACGCACCTGCCTCGGTCAAGCTACCATAAGGTTATAGGTCGGCGTAGAAAGTAGGTTGTTCTCGTTGTGCCAACGTGAAGATGAGGTTTCAATCTCCAGCAGCGGTAGCTTTAGCTGCCCTGCCTATCGTCTTCGGCATCACGCCCGAGTCTATGCTTGCTGCGAACCGTTATGGCGCTGCTGCACCAAACCCTAGCGGTGTACGTATCGAATGTTCCACGACGGGCTTCACGTAAACACTGACCACTTGTATAGGACTTCGCCCTCTACACCGTGTCAAACTACACGTTCGAGACCAAGAAGAGGTCATCGCACTGGAACAAGCTCGACCTGAAGACCGGCGAAATCTCCGTCTGGTATGAGGGTTCTGATATTTCGGAAGTCGTGTTTGTCGGGTCCAAACCCACAAGTATTATCTACGTCAATGGCACGAACGCAGAAGACGACGGCGGCATAAGTTTGTACTCTGCCGATGCCGACTCCCTAGAAGATGCCAAATTGATTACTTCTCTACCCGCACCCTACTCGGGTCTCAAGGCTGTCCAGACCGCATCCGGCGATATTCACTTCCTCGTGTATACTAAGGCGTATCCTAACGGCACCGCATATAATGAGGCATCTGCGAGCACACCAGCCAGCACGGCTAGGATCTACACAGAGACTTACGTTCGACATTGGGTGAGTACCTCATCAGGAAATTTTATCGGCGTCGGTAACTAATGGACTTTAGGACACATGGCTTGATGATAAGAAAAACGCCGTTTTTGGCGGTGTGCTGAAGGGAGGCAATGGCTCCTACTCATTCTCCGGGGATCTCACGAACTACGTCTCCGGCATTGCTAATGTCACCCGTGCTGAGAGCCCCTACGATCAGAGTGACGAGAGCGATTACGATATTTCACCTGACGGCAGCGGTGTTGTCTTCCTGACCAAGGATCCCTCGCTCCCGTTAGCTAATAATACCGCCGACGTGATTTACTACGTACCGTTCGATGGCACTTCGAAGGACGCCGTTCCGATCAATGCTAGAGGTACGACGAAGTATCTCGAAGCCCAGGGCGCAGCCACGAGCCCTAGATTCTCGCCCTCTGGAAAGAAAATTGCGTACTTCCAGATGAACAATATTGCCTACGAGTCAGACCGCAATATCGTCTACGTTGCCAACGCGGACTCGGAAGATTTTAACGTGACTGCACTTGCGCTAGACTGGGACAGGTCGCCAGACAGCTTAGCATGGTCCAAGGACTCAGAGACTCTCTTTGTCGCCGCTCCAGATCTAGGCCGGGAACGTATCTTCCCTGTTCCTCTTACCGCCGGTGACTCGTATGTACCCAAGAACATCACCAACGAAGGAGTGCCTTCTGCTTTCTACGTCCTGCCTGACGATTCTATCCTCGTCTCCGATTCCAAGATCTGGACGAGCCGGGATATCTACACCGTTTCGTCGGAAGGTGATGTTATCAAGACATATTTCCAAGCTAATCTGGTCGACCCTGCTCTTGCCGGCCTTGGCCCGGAGGATGTATCCGAGTTCTACTATTCGACCAACACTTCCGAAATCAAACAGCAAGCCTGGATTGTCTACCCAGAAGGCTTCGATGAGAGCAAAACTTACCCGTTGGCTTTCATCACACACGGCGGCCCCCAAGGTGCCCACTTCAACTCGTGGAGTACGCGATGGAACTTCAAGGTTTGGGCAGACCAGGGCTACGTCGTCATTGCACCAAACCCGACGGCGAGTTCAGGTTGGGGTCAGAATTTGACAGATGCCATCCAAGGCCGATGGGGTTTATACCCTTACTGGGACCTCGTCCACGTCTGGGATTACGTCAACAGCACTCTGAAGTATGTCGATACGGAGAATGGCATCGAAGCCGGCGCGTCCTTTGGCGGATATATGACAAACTGGTAAGCTTTTGACTTTCGAAAGGTTAAATGGACCGCATAGATACTAACGGGAACCCCCTTTAGGATTCAAGGACACGAGCTTGGAAGGCGATTTAAGGCCCTCGTGACGCATGACGGCAGCACATCAACACTGAACCAGTACGCTAGCGAGGAGCTGTGGTTCATGAACCACGATTTCAGCGGCCAATTCAACTCGAGCAGTTTTGCGACGGGCTCGCCGTACTATGAATGGAACCCCTTGTTGTACGTGGATAACTGGGCGACGCCGCACTTCGTGGTCCACAACTCGCTAGACTTCCGACTACCCGTTAGTGAAGGCATCCTCCTCTTCAACCTACTCCAAACGAAGGGCGTGCCGAGCAAGCTGCTCAACTTCCCGGACGAGAACCATTGGGTCCTGAACCAGGAGAACAGTTTGGTCTGGCACACAGAGATATTCAAATGGATTAATCACTATAGTGGTATTAGTAATTCGTCGAGTCCTTATTAGGGCGAGATGCGATTCATCTGGGATTGAGACAATTTCATGAATCCCGGTAATACCTAATTAAATTAGACATTATTGTTTGATGAAGCGACGTTGTGTCACATAAAGTGTCTAGTATGTCTAGTACATTATGCCCAGAGCAGTGGTGATCTAAAAGGTGTCACGGACAACGGAATATAATTTAATGTTTTTGTCGCATAGGGGATCCTTCCGACTTCACATTAGTTATATTTTTAAAGTTTGATATCTTAACACCAGGTGCGAATCACATAGTTTCATATGCAGTGCAAGTACATGTACCTATTAGTGAAGGTAAGAGCACTGTGAAATACATACATAGGTAATTTACCTAACTAGGTAGAAATACTAAACTTTTAGTTGCTGTTTCGCAGCCGCTGCCAACTTTCGTTTCTCACCAACAACTCATTTGTCGCAGACATTAGCTGTTTCAACTGCTACAAACGAACCTTAGAACTCCCCCCCACGCTCGCCACGCTCCTTGTAAATAGCGGGTCCCCAATCGCCAAAGGAAAGGATCACCAAGCTTTTGTCCCTATAGATGTCCCCTGTAGATCAAACAGCGGAATACTCCACCACTCCACTTCACTTAGAACTTCTAGAGCACAACACAATCTCATCGCCAAGAAAGACTGGTGAAGCATGGCCAAGGGGGAAAATGGCGTTCATCTAAACCTCAGCTGTCGCATTTCCACGATGAACGGTAATGATCTTCATAATCCACTTAGAACCAACAACCCGTAATCAGAAGAGAATGACGACATTCTTCCCTGTCGGACCACTAAAAACATCCCCTTATGTTGTCCATTGGCTTGGGAGCAACGGAGCCGATCCAACACAGTCTCTTGGATTCCTGCTCATTCACACACGTTACTTCGACTTCTGAACCGTACTCGAAACATTTTCACTGTGACTGACTTCGTTCCACGCGTGGTCCTACGTACGATCCAACACAGCCCCCTCTATCCCACCTTGGCTTCTATTCAAGCTGACCAAATAGAGCATAGAATACGATGGGATAGGCTCTTAGTTGCAATCGAGTATTACCGTACACTTCCTCGGCTTCGCCGTCAGAATCATGTCTAGTTTATTCACTCCACATTCGACGCTATGGAGCGAGCGAGCGCCAACAATAATCTTATATGTGACAAAACCAACCGCGTATCTTTCTTTCTACGTCAAGTGATATTACGGAGGAACTGTTTCGGATGCTCGTAATCTGCATGACTAGTCAGGAAAGTAAATAATAACAGTATTAGATCACATATGTACATATGTCAGCCGCTTCCCCTGGACGATCAGTATCCTTCAAAGCCGGGGTACGCAGCATGATCTTCATCACAAGTGGTCCGTGACAGCTGCGGCTTGAGGTGGACAAACAGAAACGACTCGGTGTAATGATTTCTTATTCTCGTCGCTGTATACTCAGGGGCTAGGTTGGTTACTTGTCGAAAATCCCTACTTCGTAACTGCGAGCGGTACTCCCACCTAAACCTTCTTCACTTCTTTTACTACATTGCCGGACAATGAATGGTTATGCGGTATCGAGGGCCTCGCTCTCCCACGAGGAGAAGTTGTCTCTCATCGACGATAGATCTCTCTCGGATGTAGACAGTGAAAGTGCTCGCGCGGATCTCGACGGTCGTTTCTCGGGTATACAATGGGCTGCCACAGCAAAGGCCTACTGCAACGGCCTACGCTTATCATCATGGAGCTCGTTGATACTTCGAACAGGCATATTTATATTGCCTAGTTTTGTCCACCACCGGTGTGCTCGCGAGCGGTTTCGAATAGAGAAGCTTCACCCAACCGCGTACCTCGACGGAATGCGAGGCCTGGCCGCGTTATTTGTCTTTTTTTGCCATTACTTTTACACTGCCTTCAGGATAGCAGAAGGCTGGGGCCATGGCGACGCCAACTACGAAATATGGCGACTACCGTTCGTTAGGCTCCTCTACAGCGGACCGTCCATGGTCTGCATATTTTTTGTCATTTCAGGATACGCCCTCTCATTAAAGCCGCTAAAGCAAATCCGAAGTCGTTCTTTCGATGGGTTCTCACAAACCATGACCTCATTCGTCTTCCGTCGCTTCTTTCGTTTGTACCTCCCGCCGATGATCTCGACCTTCGGCGTGTTGATCCTACTTCGCTTCGGCTTTTACGAGATCACTAGAGGCTTCTCCGGTGATCGGAAATACATGCACAATGTGGTAGAGCATCATCCCATTCTGGAAGAGACTACCCGGAAACAACTACGTCATTGGATGAAGGAGATGTACGATTTCGTTCACATCTGGGGTTGGGAGAAGTTTGGTGGCGCCACCGGATATGATGTTCACCTCTGGACGATTCCAGTGGAGTTCCGGTGTTCAATGATGCTCTTCCTAATAATATTCGGCACAGCTAGACTACGGACCGGCGTACGATTTCTCTGCCTTTCCTTCCTTATGTGGTTTATGCTTCGTAGCGACCGATGGGAAATGGTTCTATTCCTCTCGGGTACGGTAATCGCCGAATTGGACCTAATCCGCGGAGCCCACGATCCGAACACTCAATCGCCTTCTCCTCCCTTGACGTTACTCCCACTCGAAAAGACACCAGACACTGTCCCTGAAAAACGAGGACCGTGTAACTACCTATGGATTTTACTTTCCATACCGGCTCTCTATCTGATGTCGGGTCCGGACGCCGGACCCGCCGGCGTCCCCGGGTGGAAATACCTCGGGACGCACATTCCGGAGTGGTTCTCGGATAAGTACCGGTACTACCAGATGATCGGATCGATCGCATTCGTGTTTTGCACAGCGCGATCAATCTCCTGGCAGCGCTTCTTCAACTCACCCGTCGTACAGTACTTCGGGCGCATCAGCTATGCGCTCTACCTCATGCACGGCCCTATTACACACACCATCGGCTTCATGATACAGAAGCGCGCCTGGGATTTCACGAGCACAGACGGCCCCATGTATAACTGGGGCTGCGTGCTCGCGGCTACTTTCAACATCCCGCTCGTCATCTGGGCTGCGGATATCTTCTGGCGCGCTGTAGACGCGCCGACGGTTAGATTTACGAAGTGGCTCGAGACTAAGCTATCTATCGAGTAAGGAGGGTTATATGTGACACGTGGGAGTACCGCGGGTACGGTTTGCTTTGGGTTTATGTGTAAATAGGTTATTGGGTATTTAATAAATTTTGTGGTAATAGAGCCTTGCTACTTTCTATGTGCTGTGGTCTTATTATTCGTTCCATAGTCAGACTACCTAATGATGTTCTGATAAAGGCTAGTCATTGGATTACATTATAGACTAACCTATTTGATATGTTTCTTTTTTTTGGCCAACAGCTGAATATGTATTGGAAAATGTCAAGACTGGACGTGTTATTCTCGGCCAGGATAAAGGGGCGGGAAATAGAGTACTCGTAGTCATGCTATGCGCCGTGTGTCCTAGTCACATCGTTAAGCTAGTAATGATTATTATCCATGAATTTGAATAGCTATTGGGAGCTGAGATACACATCCTACCACGGTAACAATGTTGATCAATTGCATATCTCGTCATAGATGTTTTCCATCTTATGGTATTCGTATTCGTATCTACCAAAGGATATCAAAATGTTGGCATTATTACTAGTTCGTAATTTTCCTAAAAATATAGGTCGAGTGGGTAATGAGTAGGTAGCAAAGAAGAGTATAGGGATTAGGTACCTAAACATCTCGCAGCGAGTGCTTGTGTAAGCTGGTAATATAGGACAGAGGCTGGATAGAACGATATCAATGGTAACACATAACAATATGCTAGAGATTCACCGCTGCAGTGACCAGCATAATTACTGGTAACTTAATGTTTGAGTTAGAGCTAAGCCGAAATGTTCCATTCCGTACCTAATTACGGTCAGATCTTCTAGGTAGGGCGGCTTCCATTTCTACGCACAGAAGTGTCCGAGTACGATCGGTAATATTTTAACTGCGGTCAGGACCGCCTGTTTTCTAGATTGGATTTCCGGGACTGTTCGGGAAGTGTATCTGTATTATTGAGCTTAATTGGACTTAATTTTCTAGACCTCTTCCGTCTAATAAGTCAAAGAAAACTGCTGGCTGACAGTGATAATCTTGGGCTTGACGGGCATAGTAGTACATTATTAGTGATTGCTATATCAAACATGAATGCCGGAGAAATAGGGACTTTTGATTACACGTGTATGCTTCTACTGTTTACCACATTGGACAAATAATCTATATATAAATCCTATTACACTGTCATTGCTCATTCAAGTGACCGGATGTACATTGGACTTGACCTAAATAAAGCCCATTGGTTATCGACGAAGAGAAATATATTATCGTGGATACGGCGGAATCGTGAGACTTGAATCATGGGTTTGATATTGATTGACCTTGGTCTATAGGAAAGCAAGTAGCAAAAGTTCCGGGACGCCCTCTCAGGACAACAACGAACCGATGTCATAGTACTCAACGCCTCAAAATGCTTGCCAGTGCTACCATGCAATGCCCCCCCTTCCAATCCTAATTTGAACCCCATTAACTTCGTCAAGCGTCGTAGCTGCTGTGCTGTGCTGCGTATCTCGTATCCCCATCTGAGGAGCAAGAGAAGTGAAGTAGGTATATCAAGAAATGCGTAGTGGCTGTTCTTGATCAGTTATGTCGACTCCTCTTTCCTTCCCTTCCGAACATGTCTTTTCCGAATGGTATGTCGCCTACGTTGAATAGCTCGGCGAAGTTGATCGTTCGCTTCTGACCAGCTCCCTTTCCGAGATGATTCGTAGGCCTTGGCCTTGGTCCTCGCTTGTTGGTGCGCGAGCGAGTCGGATGGGCGATAGGGACGGCGGAAGACCCCGGGCTAGCGCCGTCATTCGTTCGGGTCGAATCTGAGAGGTCTAGGTTCTCCAAATTTAGGTATGGTTCTTGAGGGTACGGGTGTGACGCCCGAAAGGTGAAACTGTCCTGAGTCGGAACGGAAATCATTTGCTGTTCCCCCGCAGGAGAGTTGATGGTCGACTGATGGATAGACGCGGGGGCAGACTCTGTTTGCAAGTGGGGTTCGTTCCGCATCGCAGAAAGATGCGTTTGGTTACCGGAATGGTGGATTTCGGGCGATGACGCTGGTTCGGGCTTTTCTACTTCGTCCTCACTCTCCACCGTTTGGGGCGATATGTCTCGTCCGTCCAGGCGCTCGGTCGCCCACTTCCGGATTAGCCACCCTTCGCCGTCGCTGACACCAATGTTCGACTTATCGAGAAAGGCTAGGAGGTCATCCAAGCAATCTTGGTATCCATCAGCACGGGCTTTTGTCTGGGCGGCGACCGAGGTTTTATAGAGTTTTGTAACGGATAATGCTGCAGCCTTGAAGGAATCGAGTAGTTGTTCGGGTGATTCGCAACCCGCCCCGTTCTTAGCTGGCGAAGACCCCCTCAATGCGTCCATTATAGAATTTGATGTATGGCTGACCGGCTGGTCTAGAGGTTTGACGTAGATGTGCTCGAGCAAAAGGAAGTTAACGTTGATTCTAGCGAGAATATAGCGGTGGAATGGAATAGTAGTCAAAGGACTCAAGTTAGATCTTCTTGCTTGGTCTTGGTCTTTTTCTTCGTTGGGTTTGGTGGGGGTGTGGATTAGTTTGTGGGTCGAAGCCAGTAACAAATGGAAGATGCAGGTTACGTCGTATTGCCTGGACCGACTTGACACTTGACACTTGACGACTTGTGATGACCTTATTAGGGCAATGAAACAATGAAACAATGAGACAGACGAGTAGAATCACTGTTGCAGATATTAACGGCGTATATTGGTATATTAAAAACAGCAAGTTTGCGAAATTCGAGATGCTACGTGTTACGGTTGTCATATGCGCTTCGCTGTTGTTGTTAGGTCCTTATTCCTTGAGCCTTAACCTATGTAGAGCCTTAGAGCCTTTGAGTCAGATGATTCCGGATTGATGATGAACAGGGTCTTGGTGGCTAAGTTTTAATAAAGGCATGGATCTTAGGACTGGCTGACTAGACCCGGATTAATATTTGAAAGAACTAGTTACCTGATTTACTTAAGGTTACTTATGTACATTAGGTCATGTACCTTACTGCACCTTATGTAATCCGTACCTTGTAGGTGATCTTATGTAAGCATGTCCGGAGGTGGATTAGAAAATATACCCGACTCACAAGTACCTATGGACATAACTGATATTTTTTGCAGGCAAATCCCCGGGTACTGCACCAGTTCTTGGCACCGGCGTCAGGAACCCAACCAATCAACATCACTATATGCTACGTTTAAATACTTAATAACATATAAATGCATACACGATATTACATATTGAAAAATTGTGGGGTGAGTATCCGTGGGGTTGGAGGAATACCTTTTATAGATAGGTACATATCTTCAATTACGTACCTAAGGTAAGCTTGATATGTATGTACCTAAGCTACTCTTTCTTATGAATTTCAAGTTCTTTTCGTAATCATTCCTCTTACAATTAATGCTATATAACATAAAATCTATTATAAGAAGACCTGGGAAAAGATTGTAAATTTAAGAAGTTGTCCTGAAAAAAAGTACCTAACCTAAGTTCACCCTTGTCTGTTGCGGCTACCTTAAGATTTCAATTTGTCGAAGCTTAGGTATCGGCGCCCCACTAATGTTCCACTTTTAACAAGAGATACTCTTGCCTGTGATCTAATTTCTATTTGACGGCTCTTTTCAACCTTCACTACATTCACACAACCTTTTCAACTCCAATCCAGCCTCAAGCACATTTGTTCTTGTCTCTGGCTACTTTATCGCCGACACTATACTTTGAAAGTCCACATATCAAAGGATTTAGCAACCTTGGACTACGCCACTTTATAACCCTAGTTTTACTTTTGCACCAGGCGTCGTCTTAATTAGTCGCGTCGCAGTCGCGTAGAGCACTTATCGCAATACATCCCCCAGTATGGCTCCGCCTCGCCCTCGGGCCAGTGCGGCCGATACAGACGCGTCAATGTCTGATGCGCAAGAGCCTGTGTCTAACCACGCTGAGGAAATGGTGAGTTTTAAGTCTATAAAATTCCGATAGTATTCTAGCTGCTCTGTTGGGCCACTACTTATCATCTATTGTCAGCGCCGATACTAACTAGCCTATAGGATGTTGATGAAACACCAGACCAGACTGACACAGATACCAATCCCAACACCACTGCAAGTAGTGTTGCCGGTGATCAGATGGCTGATGGGCGCAAGAAGCGCTCAGAAGCCAACCAGCTTCGAAGAAGCATATTTGGCAAGAAACATGACTTGCTAGGCGAGTCTAAGGTATGAAATAATCTGAACGTACCAATTAAGATAACAGTAAAGTTTAATCAGCTTGCTAATTGCAATACTATAGGAGGATGACAGCATCCGAAGATTTCGTTACTTGTTAGGATTGACCGACCTCTTCCGACATTTCATCGAAACAAACCCTAACCCCAAAATCCGCGACATTATTCACGAGATCGACCGTCAGAACGAAGAAGCCGATAAATTAAAGAAGAAAGGTATTCGTCAGGGCGGCGCAGAGACTGGTCGAGCTCGTCGTACAGAAGCTGAGGAAGATGAAGAGCTACTCAAAGATGAAAGACAAGGTGGATCCGCAGAGACCGTGTTCCGTGAATCGCCAGCTTTCATTCAGGGCTTGATGAGAGACTATCAAATTGCTGGGTTGAATTGGCTCATTTCTCTGCACGAGAACGGAATCTCAGGCATTCTTGCAGACGAGATGGGTCTGGGCAAGACACTGCAAACCATTTCGTTCCTAGGATACCTTCGTCACATCATGGATACTAAAGGTCCTCACCTGGTCATAGTACCGAAGTCTACTCTCGATAACTGGAAGCGCGAGTTCGCCAAATGGACACCCGAAGTCAATGTCCTAGTTTTGCAAGGTGCTAAAGAAGAGCGACATAACCTAATTAACGAACGTTTAATTGACGAGAAGTTTGATGTGTGCATCACAAGTTACGAGATGATTCTTCGTGAGAAGGCGCATTTGAAGAAATTTGCCTGGGAGTACATTATCATTGATGAAGCCCACCGCATCAAGAACGAAGAGTCGTCTCTTTCGCAAGTCATCCGGTTATTCAACTCTCGAAACCGACTTCTTATTACTGGAACGCCCCTTCAAAACAACCTTCACGAGCTCTGGGCCCTTCTAAACTTCTTGTTGCCTGACGTCTTTGGTGACAGCGAAGCCTTTGACCAATGGTTCTCCGGACAAGGTGCAGATTCAGAAGTAGTTGTTGAGCAACTTCACAAGGTCCTACGACCCTTCCTCCTACGTCGAGTTAAGGCGGATGTCGAGAAAAGCTTGTTACCGAAGAAGGAGATCAATCTCTATCTGGGCATGTCGGAAATGCAAGTGAAATGGTACCAGAAAATCTTAGAAAAGGATATCGATGCTGTCAATGGCGCCGGTGGCAAGCGGGAATCTAAGACTCGACTACTTAATATTGTCATGCAGCTAAGAAAGTGCTGCAATCATCCCTATCTTTTTGAGGGAGCTGAGCCTGGCCCGCCTTATACGACCGACGAGCATCTGGTATACAATTCGGGCAAGATGGCTCTACTCGACAGGCTCTTGCGAAGATTACAGAAACAGGGCAGTCGCGTTCTAATCTTCTCACAGATGAGTCGTCTCTTAGATATTCTTGAGGACTACTGTGTATTCCGTGATTACAAGTACTGCCGGATCGATGGAGGCACGGCTCACGAAGATCGTATTGCGGCAATCGATGACTACAATAAACCGGATTCGGAGAAATTCATTTTCCTCCTCACAACTCGAGCTGGTGGCCTTGGAATTAATCTGACGAGTGCTGATATCGTTATCCTCTATGATAGCGACTGGAACCCCCAGGCTGATCTGCAAGCCATGGACCGTGCCCACAGAATTGGGCAAACAAAGCAAGTAGTTGTCTACAGATTTGTCACAGAGAATGCCATTGAGGAGAAGGTTCTCGAGCGAGCAGCGCAGAAGCTCCGCCTTGACCAATTAGTTATTCAGCAAGGACGTGCTCATCCTGGAGCCAAGGGTCCGGCAGCTAAAGATGAGCTCCTCGACATGATTCAGCATGGTGCAGAAAAGGTTTTCCAACAAAAGGGAGCTACGGGAATGGCTGCTAAGGGTGCAGAACTTAACGACGAAGATATCGACGAGATCTTGACCAAGGGCGAGAACCGTACCAAGGAACTCAACGCCAAGTATGAGAAGCTTGGTATTGATGACCTACAGAAATTCTCTTCGGAGTCGGCCTATGAATGGAATGGCGAAGTGTTTGGGAAAAAGAAGGACATTGGCGTGAATTGGATCAACCCCGCAAAGCGGGAACGCAAGGAGCAATCCTATTCCGTCGATAAGTTCTACAGACAGGCTATCTACGGTACTAGCAAGGCAGAAGCTAAGCCTAAGGCTCCCCGAGCCCCAAAGCAGGTCGCAGTCCATGATTACCAGTTCTACCCCCCGCGACTCCGTGACCTCCAGGATCGAGAAACCGCGTTTTATCGTAAAGAGATTGGATACAAGGTCCCCTTACCTGACGGCGACGAGGACAATCTATCGGAACGAGAAGCTGAACGTGCTTTAGATCAACAGGAGATTGATAACGCTACTGCCCTTACCGAGGAAGAACAAGAAGAGAAGCAGACATTATCGCTTCAAGGTTTCGGCGAGTGGAACAAGCGTGACTTCCAGCAGTTTATCAATGGCTCTGGCCGCTACGGACGCCATGACTATGAGCGAATTGCGGAAGAGGTTGACAGCAAGACTGCTGCCGAAGTTAAGGCCTACGCTAAGGTCTTCTGGCAACGATATACCGAAATCGCGGATTACAACAAGTACTTGCAGGTGATTGAATCTGGAGAGGAGCGTATGCGCAAGACGGAGCATCAGCGCAAGATGCTTAGGAAGAAGATGCAACTATATCGAGTTCCACTTCAGCAGATGAAGATTAATTATTCCGTGTCTACAACGAACAAGAAGGTCTACACTGAGGAAGAGGACAGATTCCTTCTAGTGATGCTAGACCGATATGGCATCGATTCTGAGGGTATCTATGAGCGAATTCGTGATGAGATTAGAGAAAGTCCTCTGTTCCGATTCGATTGGTTCTTTCTTAGCAGGACGCCTATCGAGATCAGCCGCCGCTGTACTACACTGCTCACTACGATTGTGAAAGAGTTCGAGGATGCGCACCCATCCAAGACGAATGGGGTCAATGGGAAGGGAAAGAGAGAGCCCGATGACGAGGATAATGATGAGGACAGCATCCTTGGAATGGCCCCCGCCAAGAAGAAGTCAAAGACCGGTGTCAAGGTATGCTATTAATTAATTATTAATTATAACTTCATTCGAACCGACTACTAACACAGAAACAGAACAAGGCCCTTGACAACGTTAAAGGTGGTGGTAGTAAGACTACTTCTACCACGCCGTCCACTCGCGCATCCAGTGTGGCTTCTACCAACTCAACACCCGCGGCTAAGTCCAAGGCCAAGGGAAAGAAGAAGTAAACGGCTGTCGCTGATTAATAAAGGAGTGGACAAGATGTTTTTTGGTCCGCACTAGAATTTCCCTTCGGTCTGAGTTGGCACTTCTTTCGTAGACCTTGTTCTCACAATGGCATCACCGGACTATGGAATGGCAAGGGGAGTATATGTACAGGCGTTTTTATTGGTTGCGTTCGCCACCGGACGACAGAGTCCACGAAATTAAGCTGTCTTGATAGATAGTCTAAATGCTGCCCAGTTCCCGATAGGATCTGGCGAAGATGACAAGAGTCAGGAGGGTGTTTGTACCAAAGCTTGACAGCGGCGGTCAGGATTGGACAGAGATAACAGCATGTTGCACTTACAATGTAAAGAATGAGCTACGACATAGCTATGAATCTGCTTCTCGAGAAGTTTGCCGTGTGTACATACGTGGCTAGTCCTTGGGTGATATTGTGAACCGCTTGTGTTGTTGTTACTGACAGTTGTCCCATTCCTACGCATAATTCAATTTTTGTCATTTTAGGATGGCGACTATCTTGCTACGCCAGACCAATAATCAAAAGCAATATTGTGTCTTAATCAGGTATATTGATTAGAAGCCTCGAGCTACTCCCTGCCTCCTTATACCTAATCCGGAGCTCTCATTTATTTTTCTCTTTCCTACCTAAGTAACGAACAAAAAATTGTCGGACAAAACCCTCAAACGCCGAAGCCTTTCCCGGATGGATGGATGGATGCAAGTTCTGGCTAGGAGAACGCGGAATAATAGAAACGAGGACACAACGCCGGATATCTTCTATCTATCCCTTTCTCCCGCTTTCTATCTCGTAGCGACGATTAACGGGTGTGCGTATGTACGTCACGACGGAATGGCGGGATGATTCGGGGAGGAAGAATAGACGGGGCCAGAAGAGCTATACGCTACGCGCGTGTTCTTATTATAGCCTGTTCTCGCGCTCGCGCTCGCGCTCGACCTCGTACCGGAAGTCGAAGTATCCCTTATCGAAGTGGTGGATACGCACATAACCGTCTTCTCCGCCGCTGGCGTAGCCCTTGCCTGTGGGGTCCGCTGCTACGGTGTTCTGTTGCGTTGTTAGATGTGATTTATGAGCACTCTAGGCTGGGGAAAAAGTGAAACATACCAAAGGTCCGAAATGGCCTCTTACACGACCGATCTCATCCTCGAAAATCTTGTGGTAGAAGCGCGCTTCGAATTTTCCTTGGCGAGCTGCGGTCGTAGTGACGTCCATGGCGGCCTGTCCACCACCTAGGATAACGTAGTCCTTATTCGGGGTAATGCATGCGCTGTTAAGGGGTGTGTCCGTCACGTAGGTCTTGAGGGGCTCGAGGTCGCGCGCGGCTATCAGTCGGGCGGTCTTGTCCTTGGAGGCTGTGATGAAGTAGGTGCGGTCGGGCGACCACTGGAGGTCTGTCACTTGCATGTTGAGCTCGTGGATGGGGACATTATCGAGTAGCTCTCCGGTCTGTCAAGGTGGTATATGTTAGATCTCGTCATCCATCTCTTTATATATAATAGCTGGCTTCGCGGCTTACCTTAGCGTCGTACTGCGATACGGAACCATCCTCGTGTCCTGCGATGATGTACTTGTTCAGGTAACTCCAGCCGGCAACGGTTGCTTTGCTCTCATCGCACACGATGGTCAAGGCGCGCTCGTCGCTCTGCTCGGCGTCAACATCCAACACGACATCTAGAACCACGATGGTTCCGAGATGACCCATGCGCTTCTCGGTGACGCCCAGCAGCTGGCGGCCATCGTCGCTGAACTCAACGCGCTTGACAGCCGTGGGGAATTCCCAAGTCTTGAGGCAGCGGCCGGTCTTGATCTCCCACAGGCGGATGGTGTTGTCGGCGCTACCGCTCGCGATGAAGGTCGACGTCGGGTCTACATCCACGGTCCAGATAGCACCCTGGTGGCCCTTATATGTACCTAACCGCTCGCCATTATGGGAAAACCACACGCAGATCTGCTGGTCCTTGGATACGGAGAATAGTAGGTCGCCATCGGGGTTGTATCTGTAGAGGGGAAAAGCGGTTTAGTTAGTCTAGCGAACTTGTCGCGGGGCAAGGATCTGTTTATGCTATGAGAAACATACTTAATTTGGGTCAAGGCCCTTTCCTATAGAAAACTGTTAGAGGGTATTATCTACGATATCAAGAAAGGTGTTCTCTTACGTGGCCTGACAACAGAATAGGTCTCATATTGGCGGTGTTCTGGTCTGTATCTCGTCACCAATCTTGGGGTTGGTTGTATGGAGTTTTTGAATGATTTGTGCGTGGGGCAAGATTTCGCGGATTTTCTGATAACCTATCAGCATCTGGACCCCACCAACGTTACTCATCGTCACGTGAGTGGCTATACAAAGGCTTGAGATTCGTGGTAGCCAATCACAATTTGTAACATAGCACTATCCTAGTAGGTACCTAACCTAACCCTGACAACCTTATCTATCATGTACATACCTAGGTAAATTTAATCTCATCTATGCATATAGAAGTACCTGTCTACCAAGCACTTTCCATGTTGCAATGAGAATTAGATGAGCAGAATATCAGGTTCAGTGGATTGCTGCTTCCGTATGAGAAACAGGTTAGACTACGCGATCAGGACATTGAGCGTTTGAGTCATCTCAGATAAAGAGATATTTTTTATTTTAAAGCTCGGTACCTATGTAGAGGGAAAGTGAACTTCTCGCTAAACAAGAAGACTTCTACCGAGCCATAAAAATTAGAATAGCCTCTCATACATATTTCTACACAACATGAACATGAATTTATAGAAGATGGAAGCTTTATCCCACCACTCCTTTTTCGCTTCGAATATATCATACTATCTATTTTCTAGGTGATATTCGTTTGATTCCTATTATGGTTTATTTAACTATATCTTTTTTTTCTTATAACTACTCGATGTTGTGGGCATTATCATTCTATTCGATGACTGTTACTTCAGATCCTTCTAGATTACTGACACTAGCATTGTAGTAATTGTACGGTACCTAGCAGCAAACTCTATCGTATAGCGTGCTAGCCTTGGAACTAGCAGCTATGGCTCTAGCCATTGCAAGCATCAGTCGATGCTACCACAATTTTCATCCTCTCCCAAGTCCATCCGCACAATTCATACTTCGGCCGGTCGCACGCGTTACCACTAGATTCGCTGTAACTCGGCCGACTAACACTCCGCTTTGTGGGTCCCGAAAAGCCTGCAGCTTGTCAAATTGCTTGTCAAATTGCTTGTCTAGCAGTTGTGAGCTTCTATTTGCGGTCCCGGTCCAAGCGAATCGCTCATATTTCGCTCCCCGGATTTCAGCTTACTCTCAACAACGTGCCCGACTCACAACATCTGCAAATACCCGTCGAGGGTTGTATCAGTTGTGTTGCACAAGAACAGGCTCAGGCTCATCTAATTACGCCTCAATAGAAACGGCGCAACGGCATTGGCCACTTGTCTCATTGTCGCATTTGTCGCATTTGTCGCATGCCTCTAATAGACATTTTTCAACGAGTTACCCCACTATGACTGCTGTTAGGTTAGATGGCACGGCCATCGCAAAGAAGATCCGCGAGAGACTGGCCGCTGAGATAGTCGAAAAGCAAAAGTCCAATCCTAAGTACCAGCCATGCCTCAAGATCATCCAAGGTTTGTAATTACCATACCCCATACTCCATACTCCGTACTTCTATAATTCGGATATAATAGGTACTAACCTTTGTTACCTCGTATAGTCGGTGATCGATCTGATTCTTGTATGTCTTAATCCGGGGTTTCTGACTCAACCACCGTAAGCAACCTGTGCCGCAGCTAATTCTCTCTCTCTCACCAGCAACATATGTTCGCATGAAGCTTAAGGCCGCTCGAGAGGTAGGAATTTGAACTTTAGCATAATGCCCCACATATAATACTCTTAACCTAACCATTGTGACTCATGAAAGGCCAATATTACCTGCGATCTCCTGCATTTCCCTGAGGATATTACCGAGGCCGAGCTCTTGGCACAGCTACACGTCCTAAATAATGACTCTACCGTTTCCGGCATCCTAGTTCAGCTGCCCCTGCCCAAGCATGTCGACGAGTACATCATTACTTCCGCCGTCGCAGATGAAAAAGATGTCGATGGTTTCGGTACCACAAACATCGGCGAGCTCGCCAAGAAAGGTGGCCACCCATTTTTTATCCCCTGCACTCCCAAGGGAGTCATGGTCCTTTTAGAGGAAGCAGGTGTGGACCTGAAAGGCAAGGATGCTGTGGTTCTTGGCCGAAGCGACATTGTCGGTAGCCCGGTCAGTTACTTGTTGAAGAACGCCGACGCAACCGTCACTGTCTGCCATTCTAAGACTAAAGACATCGAGGAGAAAGTAAAGAAGGCAGATATCGTCGTTGCCGCCATTGGCCAGCCGGCCTTCGTAAAAGGAGAATGGCTCAAACAAGGTGCCGTGGTTATCGATGTAGGAACCAATTACATCCCTGACGCATCTAAGAAATCAGGCCAACGGCTGGTAGGTGATGTAGAATTTGAGTCGGCTTCCGAGGTTGCTTCCTATATCACACCGGTTCCGGGTGGTGTGGGACCTATGACGGTTGCTATGCTATTGCAAAATGTTGTTAATGCAACCACCATGTATTTCGACCGACAAAAGCAAAGGCGTATCGTCCCGCTTCCTCTCAACCTGCGTACTCCAGTCCCCTCTGATATTGAGGTTTCGAGGTCACAGCCACCGAAGCCCATCACGCGAGTCGCAGAAGAGATTGGTATTGCGCATCATGAGTTGGAACCCTATGGCGCATATAAAGCCAAGGTGGACCTCACCCTTTTAAAGCGTCTGGAACACCGTCAAAATGGTCGATACGTCGTAGTTACAGGTATCACTCCCACGCCGTTAGGTGAAGGGAAGTCCACCACGACCATGGGCTTGGCTCAAGCACTGGGTGCGCATTTAGGCCGAATTACCTTTGCCAATGTCCGACAGCCAAGTCAAGGTCCTACCTTTGGTATCAAGGGAGGTGCAGCTGGCGGTGGGTACAGTCAAGTTATACCCATGGATGAATTCAACTTGCACTTAACTGGTGACATCCATGCTATCACCGCAGCGAACAACCTTCTTGCCGCTGCTATCGAGACTCGTATGTTCCACGAGAACACGCAGAAGGATGGCCCCCTTTATCGAAGATTGACGCCGGCAAAGAACGGAAAGAGGACTTTTGCGCCCGTTATGTTCCGCCGATTGAAGAAGCTAGGAATTGACAAGACTGACCCTAACGAGCTCACCGAGGATGAGATCCACCGGTTCGCCAGACTAGATATCGACCCGGAGACTATCACTTGGAGGCGCGTACTAGATGTCAACGACCGCCACTTGCGCGGTGTCACTGTTGGTACTGCGCCAACTGAAAAGGGGCAGAGACGAGATACCGGGTTTGATATCTCTGTTGCCAGCGAGTGTATGGCTATTCTAGCAATGAGCACGAGTCTTGCCGATATGCGAGAAAGACTAGGTCGAATGGTCGTCGCTACGTCGAGGACAGGAGACCCGGTCACTTGTGATGACATAGGAGCCGGCGGTGCATTGACAGCCCTCATGAAGGACGCCATCAAGCCAAACTTGATGCAAACATTAGAGGGAACTCCCGTATTTGTGCACGCTGGTCCTTTTGCTAACATTAGCATTGGGAATAGCTCTATCCTTGCCGACAAGATGGCGCTCAAGCTAGCAGGTACAGAGCCCGACGAGGATCACAACGCCAAGGCAGGATTCGCTGTCACTGAAGCTGGTTTCGACTTCACTATGGGAGGCGAGCGATTCTTCAACATCAAGTGCCGTGCCTCTGGCCTAGTACCCGACGTAGTCGTCATCGTTGCTACGGTTCGCGCCTTGAAGGTGCATGGCGGTGGCCCGTCCATATCTCCCGGTGCGCCGTTAGACCCTGTGTACAAGCAGGAGAATGTCGAGATCCTCCGAAACGGTTGCGTGAATCTCAAGAAGCATATCGAAAATGCTAAGGCCTACGGCTGCCCCGTTGTAGTTGCCATCAATAAGTTTTCCACTGATACTGATGCTGAAATTGCTGCTTTACGAGAGGAAGCCATTGCTGCCGGTGCCGAAGACGCTATCCTAGCAAACCACTGGGCCGAAGGTGGTAAGGGCGCCGTAGATCTTGCCAAGGGAGTTATTGCCGCTTCTGAAAAGCCAAAGGACTTCAAGCTACTGTATGATGTGGGTGAGGGTACTATTGAGCAACGCATGGAGACTATCTGCCAGAAAATGTACGGCGCATCCGCTGTTGAATTTAGCGAGCTTGCCCAAAAGAAGATCGACACATACACGAAACAGGGCTTTGGAAACCTCCCAATCTGCATCGCTAAGACGCAATATTCGCTCTCCCATGACCCGGATCTTAAGGGTGCACCTACCGGCTTCACCGTCCCAATTAGGGATGTGAGGATGGCTGCAGGTGCAGGATATCTGTAAGTGTATTGGTATGTCCCTGTGTAGATCATGAGCTAAACGTGAATAGGTACGCGCTTGCTGCTGACATCCAGACAATTCCTGGCCTACCTACTGCCCCGGGGTACCTGAATGTCGATGTTGACACCGAGACAGGCGAGATTGATGGACTCTTTTAGATGCTAGACAGTCCTTGGTGTATGCTTATACACATTCGTTATAAACAAGAACTAGCGTAGATGCGGTACGAATAGATATCAACTAGCTAGACGGGGAACTTTATGCATTTGGGTAGCTTCGACGGATTCAACCACGTAGGAGCATCGGGCCAGGGGAAGTATACTAGATACGGCGACTCGAGGGCCGGCGTTTATTATACATGATACCTTCAACAGTAGTGTATGCCGCAGGACTATCTGCTGCGGTCATACACGCCCAACATAGATAGTAGGATACTTAGGAATAAATGCGATGAATTAGGTACTTGTGGAACTTGATTTGTATGTTTATTGTATGTTCATTGTATATTTATTGTAGAGACTACGAGCTAATATTAGCTCGGGTGTTCCACTATAACTTGTTTCTAGGTATATATATATAGGTATATACCAAGGCTCTCCAAATATCCTCGCTCACATGTCCTAGGTTCCTCACTGACGAATACTAGGTACCGTATTCATCCCAAGGTAGACAGGTTAAGAGTAATAAAGATTATTGATTCGCTATCCTCGACTGACTACCTTCCTAGTGACCAGCATGATTATGCCTCCTACTCTATTCGACTCACTTGGCATTCATTCGCATTCCATCCAAATGCTTTCCTACTTCCCCCCCCCCCTCCTTCTTCTCGCTTCCATATTTCTCTTCCTAATCCTACGTCGTCGCGGTAGTTCTGTAGACTACACATACATCAAGTATGATATCACCTCTCTCATTACTCTGCGCCCCTTTTTTCTTCTTCTTCCTAGCTATCTTTCCAACATCGAAAACTCGACTTTCCGATAGTTTTCTTCTACTTAAGTAGATAAAATAGATGTAGTAGGTAGGAATAATATTGGCAACCCAGTAGGTAGTCCCCGCCAAAAAACACAGAAGAAATATGTGCTTGCTTGTAGATAGAAGCCCTCCCTCATGTAGGGTATTAGCACGCTTGCTGACCTGTGGGTTCCATTTTGCAACATCGAATTCTCGCCGGTATTAAATAGGTAAGGTACCTAATGTATGTACGCTTTATCCCGTATTGGTGTTCATCCACCTATGCTGAGCTTCCTAGTAGAAGAAGAAAGAGAATATGACAATGATATTGATACTCGAGTTCGTATCTCATGAATCATTCGAAACTTCATCTGCTTAGTGTGGTCTGGTTTTTGTCTTTTCTGTCTGCTGTCCTTTTAGAATGGCGCTGCGGGTTTTAGGTCCGAGCATGCCAAAAATCGATTAAAGGAGTCGAGTAGTTTCAGAAGAAATACCTAGTGTATAAGGGTAGAGAAATGAGGAAGCTAAAGATAAAGAGGTCTAGCTTTCCAACGGGTATCCATCTCCATCGTACAACCATCGCTCTAAGTCAATAGTACGAGACCGTATAACGGTCACACCTAGTTGTTCTGCTTTGCATATCAGGTTGAAGCCGACGAGATGGCTGGCTTCTTAGCATCGGGTTGTTCTGAGCCCGTGCTCCCAGGCCCTTCGTCCAAGTTCCTCTTTTGACCAGCGATTTGGTCGACTACGCCTGCACTGGGCGGTGCAGGACTGCATATATTGGGTACCGGCGCAGGTGCGGATGCAGGCGCGACGACCTTGCTATGTTGCTCGTGTTGCCCAACACCTCCGTTGCTATTGACAGGTCCGTCCTCACGCAATCTCTTCTGTCCGATTTGATCAACGACACCTGCGCTAGGTGGTGCTGGAGTAGACATGTTAGGTGTGGGGGCTTTAACCGGCTCCGGTCTGTCGGCAGTTCCTTGACTATGGCTGAACGCATCGTCGTGTGGTCGCTTCTGCCCCACGATTTGATCAACAACTCCAGCACTTGGTAGCGCTGGACTAGAAACATTGTGCATTGGTGCTGCCGGTACGCCTGGACTTGGCAAACTTGGTGTACCTGTTGACTCCTTGCGGATAATAGAAGGTCGACTAATTGAGTTCACCCCTGGGCGCGAGATACCCATCGGGGTTGGACGTTGGATTGAAACACCGGGGCGGGTAACTGATGGCGTTGGCCTTGTACTAGTTGCCGAGATAGTTTGTGAGGGTATACTTGGTGCTGTTCCTTGACTAGTTTGAGCGGTCCCCGTTGTAGGAGTAGGGGGCTGAGTTGGAGCCGGTGATGCGGATGGAGCTTGTCGCGGAACCTGTTGCGGAGCTTGAATTGCCCCTGAAGGCGGGGGTGGTACCTGGAGGCTATGCGCTCTGCGCGCATCTGCAATTATCTGCGTGACAGACTTAACCATCAATCTGTCTGCCTCCTCCCAGCCTTGAATCGGTCCAGCATTTGGCAACCCTTGGGCTCGGTTAATAGCCAAGTCCACGATAGCCTCTGCTTGGTCTGTCTTCTTCCTAAGAGCGACAACCATAGTGCCCCTAAAGTTCCTGATTCTACGTTGTATTTCAGCTTCAAGCGTGGCCGCAGGTGCTGGACTTGGCGTTGGCGCGCTCGGAGTCGGCGTTGACTTCGCAGCATTCGGTAAAGCTGAGGCGGGAGCGGGAGAAGCAGAAGTTGCCTGCTGTTGTCGCTTCGCTTGCATTTCGGTAATCATATTTTGTACCGCGTTAAATAGTGTTTTTTCGACTGATTCAAACCCAGGAGGCACACTGGTCTGGACCGATAACCCTCGCGCACGACTTATGGCCGAGTCAATGATTTGTGCAGCATGGGGTGTCTGCTTCGAAATAACGTTTAACATATTTCCCCTAAACTGAGCAATGGCTCTCTCGATTTCTGGTGATAGCGGTGATCGAACTATGTTCTCAGGAATACTTGATACCTGTTGCGATTGCTGGTGTTGCGAGGGAGGTTGCGCTAGGGGTTGTTGCACTGGAGCTGCAGGTAGTGCCTGAGGGTTTTGTACTGCAGGAGCTTCTGATTTGACGGGAATATTAGTTTGGGGGGGCGGTTTCGCGTAAGGCGAGCTGTAAGTACTTTGCTGGGCGTTATGGGATTGCCTGGCCAGATACCCAGGGGGCAATTGTGCAGGCGCGGGAGATTGCGTCGAGTAAACTGGCTGGACGACTGGTTGGGAAGATTGTGCTGAAAGGGGTTGAGGAGGTTGGTTTGTAGGAGGGTGGTATCCCGTTGGTATCTGCTTTGTGTCATTGGTATAGTGTGATACATTATGGCCGTAGTTGTAGTTGCCCGCGGGTAAGTAAGAACCGTTTTGGTAATACTGTGTTGATAGCTGCGAGTGAAGGTGAGCTGATCCAAGCTGTCGATCTGGTGAGCTTGCTTTGCGCTTCTTTCCAGCATCAAGCTCAACGCCGGGAACACGAGACCAAAGTCCGGTTCCCTCAGCCTTCTTGAAGGCTTCGTTCCCAATTAGATTATGCCGAACACTACTTTCCCATCCTTTTGTCTCAGCAGAGAAGTAGAACCATGGATATTTTGACATGATTCTCTTGTAGATTTGTTTTAAGGTCAGGCCATCTGGAGGTCCATTTGTTAAGGCCTCATCAATCAGAACACCATAATTCTTAGTAGGTTTCTGTAGCTGCTCTTCGGTGAAGTCCTCCTTTCGGAGCTCCAAAGGCGGCGACTTCGGCCGGACCTTCTTCTCTTTCTTTTCTCTCGCCCGCCTCTCAGCATCAGAACCTTCTTCGCCTTCTTCCTTTGGCCTTCGTTTGTTATACTTTCTCTTCTCCGGCTTGTCCCCGTCTTCGGTGAGGGGATTCTTCCTAGGTCGGCCTACCGGCCGTTTGATCTTCTCGTTTTGTCCTTGCGGGTCTTGAGGAATAGTCTTCTTAGAGGTTTCTTGCATCTGCTTCTTAAGCAGTCGCCGTTCCCTCTTTGACATTATCCCATCTTTGGGCGGTCGCCCTGGACCACGCCGCTTCGGCATATCAGGATTCATAAATTGGGACTGATGCATGTCCTGAAATTCAGTGGAGTTCATCATGCCAATATTCGACTCGTCTACTTCGTCAGATTGTAGCTCAGTGACTCCTTGATCGTCACCTTCTTCGTCTTCACCTTCACCGTCATTTTCGCCTTCACCCTCGCCATCTCCTTCTCCATCACCTTCATCAAACCCGACGACAGGGGTCGGTACATTCTCAATCTCTGATAGCTCTTCGCTTGTATCCCGGAAGTTCTCATGGTCAGAGTGTTCAAAGTCAAAGCTCATCTCTTTGCCTCCGATAGACATACGTTTACTCGAAGTCTCTTCCTCGTGATACTCCTCGCCGCCTGTCTTACCTAGTTGAACACCGTTGAGGATAAATGTGAACTCCACATCTTTGATTTGAAGTCGATCTCCGCTCCTGAGGGTAACTGGATCGTCGAGACCGTAATGCGTGTCATCGCAGAAAAAACCGTTCTTGTGTAGGGCAACAGCCTCAAATACGCCTCTCTTCTCATTAAATTCAATCTTAAGATGTTGTCTCGATATACCGCGAGTTTTACTTGCGATATCCGGCCCGGGAGAATGAATACCCACGAATGGGATGTGAGAGGGCGACGGTTGTAAGGTGCCTAAATCTACGGCGGCGGCTCCGGGGGTGTGGGAAACATATTGCCTGTTGGACTTGACATGGTCACTTTGAGCGTCTTCGTCACCGTTATGAGACCTATTCGCAGAACTTGGGCGGCGCTTCTTCACAGGTCGCACATTATCTTCACCATCCGACTCAGGACCTAGCATGCCACCTTCCTCGCTCACATAGGATTTACTAAACTTCCCGCGGTCGACGTTGAGGGGCGTCGGGGGAGGCAATCCATTTCTCGCATTCTCTTCCACTTTGCGTCTGTAGTTCAACTCCCTCTTCTCATCCCTCCTGGCTTGATCCATGGCCCGTTGATCGCGACCAATAATGACAGCGTAAGTAGTCATCTGAAAAACACTATCGGCAAATTCTATCCTGGCAAAAGATTCTAACTTTTGGCTGGCGCTAGTCGATGTGCGGTCGCCGCTTGTCGTCACAGCATCGCTTTCCTGGGGAGTAAACGAGGCCTGCAAGGAGACCTCGGAGGGGGCTACAATGGAGGGTCCCTGATTCTGGAAGAGGGCCGAACTAGCCTGGGCGATATTCATAATATAGGCATTGGGTTGTACAGTACCCTGGGTGTGTCGCAAGTTAGAAGACATATTTCGAGACGAGAAGTCTATGCCTGCAGGTTCGGGGTCGGTAGTCGCGACAGCTTCCACTTGGTTGCGCGATCGCTGTGTATTGTCTAGTATCTGGGTTCGATCGAGTTTCATAGGAAAGGTATCTGTAGCTACGCCCAAGTTGGCAGAAGCTAGATGGACGGCCGAGGTGAGTTCAGAGGCTCCATTCGTAGCTGGTAGAGGCCCGGTAGAGAGGTCGGGAACATCGTCATTATCGCCAATGTTCACTTGGGTCGCTGCCGGCGTAGAAAGGGGGGAGACCGTAGGGGGCGAGGGCATTGAATGCATCTCTTGAATATCATCGCGGTAGGTATCTTGTTGAGCCGAAAAAGGCATCGGCGCATTCGCATCGGCAGTGGCAGTGGCAACAGATGCGGGATCTGGATCGGCTGCGGGCGGCACGCTTGGCGGCGGAGAGCCATGATGTACTACTGGTTGGCGACCAGGATAGGTCGCGGCAGCTATGGACGAAGTCATCGCTGTTGAATTGAATACAGCTCCTTCGTCTACGGCGTGCCGGTTTGGGGTTTGCTAGGGAAATGGTATGGAGAGTTGAAGGTGGGTGTACTGCCAGTAGAAGGGAACGGGATTGTTGTGACCGCCTTCCCGCAACGTAAAAAAAATACAGCAAATGCTAATGACTTCCAATGGCTCTAATGGTCTGACAGTGCCAAACTTCTGATTTGATTTCCCCGCCAAGGCCCTTTGCAGCCACTAAACAGCCACTAATCTGTAAAGGTACTGGTGCTCTTTCTGTGCAGGTTCGGATAGAGCTTGTTGGCTAACTGTGATTGGTTGTGATTGGTTGGTAGGGGGTGAACTAATCGGCGCTTTAAAGCTGCTAACTTGGTTAGGCTGTTAGCTTCTGCAGCAGTGCAGCAATGCAGCTTCTCCTCGAACTCTATGGTCAACTGCGCTTTATTTTTGCAGCTGTTTCCAGTCTTACACCTAGACGTGTGTAACAGATAGATATGATAAGAAAGTATCCCGTCAATCATCTCGGGCATCTTTCCGAAGGATTGGCAAATACACCCATACTTACACCTCCCTTGGTCAATTGACACGAGACTAATGCAGATGCCCAATATGTACTGCTCGAGTGTACATATCGGGCTTCAAGGCACATCGAGTCAGTTTAGATGTATAGAAAGATGAGAAAAGATGAGAGCAAACTCAAGTAATCGCAAGATTGAGTCCATATTCGCATTGCATGCTCGTAGTAACTTCAATAGATAGATTCGAAACATGCACGTCACTAGTAAATTTGTACGAACCTTATAGTATCTCACAAAGGCGTAGCATTAACATTTACCACAGTACAGTATTAGATATGTCCATTCAGCTTTCTTTTACAGATCACATGAGTTTAGTTGAAGCCCGAATATTATAAGACTCTTTACTACAAAAGTTGAACATAGGTAAATCATACTCAGAGCGGTACCTAGGTAGTAACTAACACTGAGATATCTAGAATTAGTTTGTATTACATCACGATGTCTGTCGTATAGCGGCCTTAATTCATATATTTGTTGAACAGGCTATTGTATTCTCAATGGTAAAAGTCGTACATGCTCCTTAAGCGTGTAGCAGCGGCCGTCTTTCGCCTGGCCGGTGATTGCTTCTCTTCTCTACCCAATCCGCAAACTTGTAGGCCCAATGACAGAGCATCCCAGCTACAAAACCAACAGCGTCGTTCTTGAAAGCCAAGATACCTGCCGTAGTCATGAGCATGACAGTCCACCTTTCTGACCTTTCTTGGTCCGAGATGTTCTTATGCCTTTTCTGTTGATCCTGATCTACTGACGACTCCCATAGATCCGAGGCGCCGTGGTTCAGGCTCTGGCCCACCTTTGCCAGTTCCAGACCGGCAGCGATGACCATGATACCCAGAAGGCTCTTCGGAAACCCCTTCAGAAGATCCAATAACGTCTCGCCGAAGACAATACCGAGTATCATCTTAAATAGACCCAGTAAGATGATGCTTGCACCGCTCCGCGCACCAAATCTGTACTGTGCCGCGAGGCCCCCGGCCCCATGACAGACAGGCATAGCACCAAACCAACATCCCAAGAGGTTCATACCGGCGACGCTGATGCCGAGGGCAGTGACGCTGGGTGCCGGCAGATTCGGTAGCAGATCCGTCGCGAGGGCACTCGCGGCAATGATCGAATTTAACGTCGTCAGTGGCAGCTGCGCGATGCCCATACCGATAGCATCAGCACTCCACCACGGAAGTGCAAACCAGGGGTGCCAGACATGGAAATGCGGTAGATGGTAGGAGCTCGTAGCAACAAATATTATGGCAAGGACTAGGCCGGTAACGAATATAATTAGGGCGTACGGAAACCGAGATGCTCTCTGGGTCAATATGAGCAGCAAGAAGGCGGCTAAGGACCAGGCGAGGTTGTCGAGAGCGAAAGCCCAATTATGGATGAAGGGCTGAAGCAAAGAGGTACCCGCGGAGATGACAAGGGAGAGACCGGCGCCGAACTGGATTCCTTTGACTACGGGAATGGGTATTATACGCGTAACCCAGTGCAATAGACCTGTAATGCTCAGAAGCAATACGATAATAGCTACCACGCTGCCTGCTGCTACGGTTTCGCGTTCCGAGGCGTGAGAGGCTATGGCTGCCGCTGCGATGGCCTTCATAGGCTGTACCGGTAGGGGAATACCGAATACGACACCGGTTACGAGGTTGAAGAAGCCGGAAAACACAAGGGTTGTCGATAGCGAGATTGAGCCGTTGACCGCGAGGGTGATCATAAGAGGCAGAAGGGTACCTAGATCGCCGAGCGCGCCCGATATCTCAGCAAGCGGCGAGTTACGTACAGTTGCGACATTATTGCGATGGAATCGCTTGATGTTCGAAATGAAGGCCATGGTTCTTTTCGGCTTTGGCCATATGTATCGGCGACTTAAAGATCATGTCAAGCCATACACTTTACACAACCTGACTTTACAATCATCAGGATGTGAGATCGGAAAGGTTTCAGCTCCAACTACGTCAGCGCGGAAATACCTTGCAACTCCGCAGGCTCTTCGGAGCTACCCGAGACACGGGCCCCATGATTTTTGCTTCTCGCAGTTACATACCTATCATATCGCCATTTTCGACATGTACTACTTTAGCTAATTAATTGCATACATGCACCTATGTAAGACGAACTCAGGAGGTATAAATAGCATTGGAGTTGATGAGTAACTTTAAACGTTACTATACATACTAATGTCAAGTGAGTATGTAACGTCGATAAATTATACACTTGTGCAAGCTTTAAGCGGTAGTATTAATGGATCCCTCCACTAGTAGCACTAATAAAAAAGTCACTGAACAAAGAACTTTGAAATATTTTTTTTTTCCTCTCTTTCAACCTCGGTAACATAGGTACCCGTTACGCACGCAACGATCCAGTCTCGACGCGGAGTAGCTCTGTAAGAGGCGAACAGGCAACGTTCTAGAATGGGTGTAACAACGGAAGCTGAGTATTTCACGGGTCACATTCCAAATCCAGCAAATAGCTGTTGACTCGAGACTTATAACGTCCACACCTAGTTACATCGCTACCAAGGTCCAAGGATTTGGCCCACGATATGCTTTCCTAAAAACGAATGGCGCTCGCTCGATCGATTTAGTCCGTATAACTATAGGTACTTATACTACTTTTACACTTAACTACCTTATACATTTTTATCTCGTAGTTAACCTGTTACCCTGTTGCCTATATAATTGTATAAGTCGTTCACGTAGAATGCTGTCATAGTACTTGAAACATAATCCTTGAAACAAGGGACATTGCGGGGTTCCAACGACACGAAAGCTACCTATTAATAATGAGATCAAAAAGATAGCCGTTTCCCGAACCTCTAAGAATGGAGGCCAGCCGGGGAAATCGCCGTCGGATGCGATCGCAGTTGGAAGGATCTTGGAATAGCGCTCGGGATGTCAGGGTCCCGAAACGTTAGGGCCGAACAATCAATCGCGTATATCCATCACTCGCCCCCTAAATCTAGATACCTATTCCAGCTATAATATTCAAGTAGACTGCGCGAAATATTTTCATGTCTTGTCAAATTGTTTCTTTTATGCATTAACATTTTTAACAGCTTGTTTTTTTTGGTCAACCCCTGTTTGACAAAGTCCTCCCTGATCCTAAGAATATTCAAGTTCTATTCAGGTATAAGTCGAATACTTTATAGTACATATACATACATACACTTGCATAGTCTTGCCCCGGCGGGCAACACGCTCGAAAGTATTGGCGGGGGTCAATAAGTCGTCATCATGTTTTCAACAATATTATTGCTGCTAGGTGCAGCGGTTATATACTTTGTATTCAATATCGTATCAGGGCTTAGAGACAACATTGCTGCCGCTAAACGATCCGGCTTCCCTTACTTCATTGTTCGTAAGTTGATTAAATTCCAGCTCTTTCAACTCTTTCAACCCTTACTTTCTCACCTGTTCCTAGATATTCTCAGGTCGCAAAGCTAACCTTCATCACAGCTATTAGCCCATGGAACCGATTAGGTCAAATATTTCATAAATTTTGGGCCCGCTTGTTCAAACTTCTTCCACGCAAATATTGGCAAGATATTGAACCGTGAGCAATCTAAGTAACTCCCACCACCATTACTCAGTAATCTAATACACGCAATATTAGTGTTTTGAACCCTAACTGGCAGTACGTGGAGAACCACAAACTATTCGCTAAACTCGGAGATACCTTTTTGGTTGTTTCCCCAGGGAGAATCATATGTTTTACGGAAAATGCAGAGGCAATCCACCAGATTACGTCAAAGCGAGAGGCGTTCCCGAAGCCGACAAAGTCCTATGCTATTCTTGCGCAATATGGCCAGAATGTAGTGACGCTTGAAGGTGCCGCTTGGCGCATGCACCGCAAGATTACCTCGGCTTCTTTCAACGAGAGGAATGCCGCGTTGGTGTTTAGGGAATGTATCAGCCAGACCCAGGGGTTGATTAACATCTGGCTCGGCCCTGACGGCTTGGGAAATAAGACATTTAAGACTCTCGAGCACGATACGGCATCTCTCATGCTAAATATCATCGCAAACATCGGATTCGGCCTCAAGATCCTCTGGCCCGGCGAAGAGTTCCCGCCCGATGCCGACCCGAGATTAACCAAGTACGGAACTCACGAACCGCCTCCAGGACACACGTTGAGTTTCGTAGAAGCATTGGCTCGTACCCTGAAATATCTCATCCTCCTTTTGATCGCGCCGAAATGGATACTCAGAATTATCCCTAACAAGCACGCAAAACAGGCTCTAGAAGCAGAAGCGAACTTCTTAGGCTACATGAACGAGTTCCTGCAAGAAAAGATTGAAGATGTGCAGAAAGGAAATAACGCGGAACAGGGTCTTGATATAATGGGCTCCTTGGTCCGCACAAGTTACGGAGACGTGCCAGCCAACGGATCAACTAAAAAAGGAGCCCAAGTTGCACGACTATCGGACTCGGAAATCATAGGCAATGCATTTGTGAACATAGTAGCAGGACATGAGACCACAGCTAACGTTCTCCATTTTACACTCGCCTACCTAGCATCTAGTCCGGCCTCTCAAAGGAGATTGCAACGGGACATCGATAACCTTCTAGGAAACACGGACGCAGAGACGTGGGATTATGAGGCGTGTCTGAACCCTCTGCTTGGTTCGATGGTTGGTGCTGTTATTAACGAAACACTTCGTTTACTACCGCCTGTAGTGGATATACCGAAGATGGTAACCCCGGCGCAAGACCAATCCGTCACAATACAAGGAGTGGGACACGTACTGCCTCGCGACTCATCTATTGGCGTAGTGATCGCAGCCGCACAACGCAATCCGAGATACTGGCCGACTAAGCCAAGCAAGATCACTAATGCTGAGACGGACATTAATGACTTCGTTCCTGAGCGATGGTTCCAAACAGATTCAACGAAGGGCAGTAACACTGCAGTTGAGAGCGGGGACACGGAGGACTTTGGCGGCTACACCGGATCCGATACCAGCGCACAGCTGTACCGCCCGCCACGGGGCTCGTTCATCCCTTTCTCAGACGGCGCACGAGCGTGCTTAGGCCGCCGCGTAGCAATCGTGGAGCTAGTCTCGGCATTGGCAGTCATCTTCCAGAAGTATAGCATCGAGCTCGCAGTAGACGAGTGGGCGAGCGATGAAAAGGTCGCGAATATGAGCCAAGACGAGAAGGCGAGCTTATACAAACTGGCGCAAGAGAAATCGAGGGAAACAGTGAAAGAAGCTAGAAGCTATATTACGTTAAAGCTACATGGGGATAAGTATATCCCTGTGAGATTGGTTAAGAGAGGCAACGAGAGGTTTGTCAACTGTATCGATTCATGAATCGTGTAAGAGGGAAGAGCTCTATTATTCGACATTGGTTACCTATTGTACCTTAGGTACATATGGGAGCATCTCTAGAAAGCACAAGTCATACATACATCAGGGACATTAGCAGAGACCCTGTAGCATATAGATTAGGATACACGAACGAACGTAAAATAAAAGGAACCATCTTCAAGAATTCAAGGATCCTTATTGACACGTCCAACGCCCCAATTTTTGAAAAATTCGAACTTCTTTAAGACGTGGCAGCGCGTTTTTCATTGACGAGAACTCGGTCTCCACAGGGAGTAAACAAGTAAAATGGGACGATGACACCTTGACATAGCAAATCACGACGTTGGATTTCCCAATCGGTGGCACCGTGCACCGATATCCCGTTTTGCTATTATTGACGTATTAGCTAAGGTTAGGTACTAAATCTACCCTAAAAATAGGTACCTAGGTACTAGTGAGAAGTACCGTACTCTGGGGGGTCAAGAGCGAACCCCCAGCGGATCCTAGTAGCAAGGTCAGGCAGGAAAGCAGCAGCTTGATTAGCAGGTAGACCTTGGCCTTGGGCGCTCCCGCACCTGCACGTCAATAGACAAGACAGAAATAAGAAAACATAAACAACTCAAGCGCACCACCGCGGGAAATCCTCCCTGTCTTTTTTCCCTTCCAGCCTCCATCACACTACCGCTACGTACACACGCGCCCCTCGCAACACGGCGCAATCCCATATCTCTCATATCTCATTATCATCACCACCATCAATACAAGCCTCGTCTTAGCAACTTAACCCCCCCCCAACTACGTCACGGACCACCAGCTGCTATTTTCTTAAAAAGCATTGCATCTTAATCGCCTATCCTGCGCGACACCGCTTATACCAATTCAAGCAAAGCTACAGGCCTGTACCCAACAATGTCCGGCGCAAACAGTTGGCTGCAAAGGCAGCGAAAGAGTGATTTGGCTGAGCTTGCCCAGTACACAGGTCTCAGGAAGTATGTACTACTTTATTAGAATATTAGCCCCTCAATTCTGTCCCCAATTCGAAGTTTGTTGTATTTGTGTTATCGTGAAGTTTGTTCGCGACTCGGTGTTAGTACGCCCTAAGAGAGCACTTATATAGGTAGATTATTACATCACCATCTCCGTCCCGTCTGGAATGCGGAATGATGAGATAATATTCTTCGGCCCCACGTGCCGACCCGAGACAAGAATAACATGGCTAACACGTTTTCCCTTTGTTTGCGAAAAATAGTTACGAATCGTTAAAGAAATCTGAGCTCGAACTTGCCCTCGACGAGTATTTGGCCGAGAACTCGTCTACCTTCTCGTCCGACCCTAAACTCGCCAACTACTTCTCCAGCCGCGCCCGAACTACCGGGTCCCCAGTCAAGAGGGATGCTCCCGAGGGCGCCGTAGAAAGGCTGAAGGTTGCTAAACGACGAGTAACAAAGGCTGCCGAGGAAATTCTCGCTCCAGAGTAAGTCACGTCGCGGTTCGCAGTAGCCGTGTGCCGCCCGTCTCGGGCATCTCGACCTGTCTACTAACATTAACTTATAGGTCTGATGATGAAGAGCCTACAAGCACTGCCACCTCTCTCGCGCGTACTCCTGGCCGTGCTCTCTCTCTTGCAAGCCGTATCCCGCTTCCTGCCACTCCTGCGGATGTTGCCGAAGCTGTCGACCGCTCCACCGTCGCTGTTAGGACGCACGTCGTATCTCTATACAAAGAGTCGGGAATCGCGGAAGCCACTCAAGCAACGCGTGAAAGCTTATCAACCGTGGCCTCGGTGCTCTTCGCCATATCCGCGTTTGAGCTCTACTTCTTGCGTCCCGAAATACTGGCCGACCGATACGCGTTCACCGTCCCTGCCATCACCTTTCTCGGCACAAGGGACTTCCCAGTCTTCGTTCCCGACATGTTCCTGCTCTTGACCTCGTCCTTCTGGTCCCCTGCACTTCTCTGGGGTTTCACGAGCGCTGTCCTGCCTAGCATTGCCGGCTACTTTTTCAATTTGACTATCAACTCCAGCCACGGTCGCCCGGGTCGCCGCTCGCACGCGTCGGAGTCGGTTGTAGACCCATTGACCTTTAGCATCGCTAAGGCTCTGATCTCATACGTGGTCTACGGCCAAGGCATTACATTTGGTGGCTGGATAGACGAGACGTCTATTGCTCGCATCAACACGGCCATATACGGCGGCTACAGGGGTATCCTGACCGGTACTGCCATCACCGGCGTCTTGAGCATCTACGACGCTGTCCTCAAGAAGTAAGGGAGAATGCATTCAAATTCAACTGCTGGCGGCTGTGACAGCTGAAGATTTACAATCATAACCTCACTTTCTATATATCACCCCCAGTCTCACACTGTTAAAATGTCGCTTTCATCCGGTTGATCACTTTAATTTTCTTATCAGGAGTCCCGGAGGCTGGTGGCTGGTGGCGTTCAACGGCGTTGACGGGTATTCTATAGCGTTCGGCTCCCTTATCTACGCCCCGATACCAGCCGATTTCCGGCCCCATCACATACATAGTACCTTAACTACCTAACCCCCTATATACATACCCCTACCCCTATCCACCCTATCTCAAGATCCCGCTCTTCCCGAGGTCGGAGTGCTTCCGACTGGCTCCCGGATCGGGCCAGGTCGGGACTAACCTATCTGGTAATTATGGGCAATCAACCACCCCGGATGTCCCGGTTAGGCGTCTTTGTTTAACGCTTGATCTGGTTATACGCTTGAAGTAGACTCCTGGATTTCATCATCTCGCAATAGGCGGCTTGCTTGCGCTTGTTTATATGAAGTATTTGACGTTGGCTACTCGTCTTTTTTTCTCCCCGGCGGCGCGTGCGCTGCTTTGGAAAATTGACGAATAACCATTTTTCTCAAGGGTCTCGCATCGAGGAGTTGAGTTGAGTTGAGTAGCCATTTCCCACGTTTCTTGTTTATATACTCTGTTCAGGTTACTCTCGAGGGGAAACAAGGGATTCGGATGGTTGGATTGATATATTGATATTCTCTCCCGTGCGTGTATGCTGGAGGGCGGTCTCTTCTCTTTGTCTCGCTATGTCTTGGGCAAACTACCGAAGAGACAGCGGGGCGGGAATTCGAGGGGCTGTAGGCTTCGCTGTAGGCGGACGTCGGATAATCAGTCATGTCATGAGTCGATGAGGCGTCATAACGAAGAACGGAGGGTAGGGATGGGTCGATATGTTGTTACGATAGGAATATATTGCGACTGCTTTTTTCTATTGTTCAAATTATAACTTCCCAAGTCTTTGTAAGATGTTGCGTGGTTGTGCTTAACTAAGCATATTACTTGATAGTTCGTAAAAATGCTCTCCGGTGCTGTCTTGTCTAGAGTAACTCGAGATGAAGAGAACAGGATGGACATCTAAAGATGATGATAGTAAGCTGCTATGTTAGGTACCTAAGGTAGGTATCTAAACACATTGTTAGTCTCGATAGAAACATGTGCCATACCATATAATATAGAGCACTTCGTCATTACTCTTTTTGAATTTCCTTCATTATTCTTGGGCAAATCACGAATGTAATAGCATATCATGGGCTAGCCTTCTACTTGATAATATCATATATCGTAATCTCATTTGAATAACTGCGTCATTGACACTATCACTCAGGCAATCTGATACATGCAATCACGAGAAGCTAGTTACATAGCAAAAGCTCTTTTCTGATATTACATTATATACATACATTGAGCAACTACACATCTCCGCCAAGTTAGACACTTAACTCCGCGCCGTGTAGGTTCCTCCTAGCTTCTGGCCTCGACTATAATAGGTTCGCGGAAATGGGCCATGCTTGGTACTGGTGTCGTATGAATGTACAAAATGGGCTATGCGCCGAACCCAAAAAAACAATATGGCGGGTGTCTTGCTCAAACGGGGTCGAGTTCTGCTCTCGGGCAAGAAGCCTGGTGACACCGACTAAATGACAATGGAAGCAGTGAAATTGAAAAACCGGACTCCTCATATGCGAACGCCCGTAAAATGCCGTTGCTCGTGGTACCCTGTACCAGGCATGATGAATGGTTCTTCGTAGGTCTTTGCTCCTCTGATGTCCTAATTCCGGTAGCCTCATTCTATATTTCCGTTCGGTTGACTGTTGTCGTACATCGACAAGTTCCTCTACTCGCACAAAAAAGAAACCGGGCATCCCTCACATTATTATTAGTTTTACTCCTGCTCGGCAGGGTTTTCCCACTTGATGGGATGTACGAGCATGCTCCGTAGGCATAGTCGGCCAGAGTTCTTTGGGTTCTCTTCCTCCTTCCGTCCGCCTCTCTTGGTACCTTCGCCGGCACGACCACCGTTATTGCCTCTGCCATCCATCTGAGCATAACCAAGCCAGCGACGCCACAACAAACCGGCGAACTCACTATTGTAGTACCAGCTCGTCCCCTTATGGTTATGCTCGTTTGTTAGATCGAATGGGGAACCATGGCCGCCTGAAGTGTGGTCTTGGCCACCATTGAAAGCCTTTTCAATCTCCTCCTGGGGCCACTTTCGGTCCAAGTAAACCGGGTGGGGAGCATATACGGCTTTGAGACCATGGTGCAATGCCATCGAAGGCGGGAACATCTCGCTAAACATACTATGGTGTAGACGCCATGTTTCCTCATGCATCACTCTTAACAGACGACGCGACAGTCGGGAAGCAGTTACAATAGCGCACCTTCGCGGAGGCTTCTCGTACTGCATGTCGTAGCCCGTCACATCCCCTGCGAACACCCAACCAGAGTTCTCAGTATCAAAAAGCGGGTTAAGTGTGATGAGGTCCGCGTCCTCGCCAACTCCACATTGCGACATATCTGATCCGCTCGAACAGCTCGATGGTAGGAATACCTCTCCTTGTTCGAGGCCAGATTTGCCAGTGAAAACCACCGGACCCAGAATCGGTCGCTTTCCAGATTGTTTAGTTTCATGGCGGACGAGCTCCGTGAAGTTCTCCCAGTTGCCGTGCAATCCTGGAATATAATACTTGCTTGCCCGTTCCCACATACCTTCTCGGCTCTGGTCCGCACCCCATTTGCCAAGCCTGTCGAATAACTCGTAATACGACCCGGTCCAGCGCATATCCATCTCCCAGTTCCAGAAGTGGGCATACTCAGGATGCATCATCGCAAAATGCTGAAGCGGCATGTGTGCAGATCGGTAAACTCCATGAATATCACCGTTGGATGGGTTTTCGAAGGTATCGCCAAAGTTACCCGGATAGTACAGCTTCATCTGAGCTTCAGACCAGAGAGTACAGAGTCCGTGGAACTCGGGAGGGACGTTGATATCGAGGATGTTCTGGACCGTGGTTGGATCCGCCCAGATAGGCGCATTGTTGTCGCGAACATGTAAAAGAAAATGAACATCATACTCACCACCAGATCGTAGGCTAAGCTCATTGATCATGGCACGGAAATTGAGTAAAGCGTGACTTGTCCACTGGAATCCGACGTAAGTTCGCACAACTATAGCAATGCGATCGAGTCTCTTACGACCAGCTTGAGCCAGTTCGAAATCTCTAGTTTCGTTACCAGAGAAAAACCTGTCCTCATTCGCCGCATAGCAACGCTCTTGCGCTGAGCCCCAATCGACGCCTTCATAGTTGATCTGTCCGGTCTTCTCCCAGACCGCCTCGCTACCCTCGTGCTCGGTGTCGAGGGCTTCACCCGTCCCGCCAGCTTCCAAGTCATATCCAAGGCCATATGGTCCGTACCGGCTAAAGCGATCGAAGCAGACATCTTCTCGCAAACCTAGGAGATCGTAAGACCCAAGAGCTGCTTTAGGTTGACCTTGAGGGACACCGCTGTATGCGTACAAGTCGGGAGCGGGAATCTTATCATCCTCGTCAATGTAACATCGCTTCACAGGAACATATGTCTTCTGATACTCGTCGGAATCATAGTCTGGATGAGGACGATATACACTAGGCTTGGGTTGCTTAGAATGGTGAACAGTAGGTGAAGGTTCAGATGCTCTGTCTGGAGACGATACTTCAGGGTACTCTGGCTTGTAGTCCGAGAATGACACAAGCGACCTCAGACCGTTGTAATAACCGTCGAGACTATAGATTCATTATTAGCAATCTAGTTCTTCAATTCCCTTAGACAAGTCTGCCCATAACTTACTGCTTGTATCTGAGCCAATGCGGACTGTTGGCGTTCTCTTCAGTTTCCTCTTCCTTTTCATCCTCTGGATTTTCTTCTTCCTTCTCTTCTTCTTGCTCCTGCATCTCCTCGACTGGCTCCTTTTCCTCTTCTACCGGGTCTTGTATATGGACATCATCTTGACTATCCTGTGTTTGCAGGATTACATTGTCGGTGGCTTGAGGAGCTCCATTAACCCCATTTATACTCCCATGTACTAGATCAAGTACATCCCGTGGCCTTCCAGCTAGTCCAGGGTTAAATAGGGTGAATGACAACAGGGCAATAACAAGGAAAGTCCATATAACTACTCTCCGATAAAGACAATTACCGAGTAAAGCTTTGACCCTGAATTTGGACTGTGGCTTCGTGGATATTGGTAGGTAGGCCTCGCTTTTTCGAGCCATGAAGTTGGGAAACGAACCCGATTTCCGGGACACATAGTCAGATACCCTACCCATATTCCGTAGGCAAGTTTTGAGAAGAGATCTCAGAAAATATCAATGCTCAGCATCGAAAATATTAAGCTTGCAACTTAGCACATTAATGGAAATCTCCGGGGCTCTTGTCTTGCGCGCCGTCCGCTCAACTGTTAGTGTTAAACGGCGAGGTCGTGAATTACCGATGCTATCGTGAACTGGGGGCACTGGAGACCTAATAAAGCTGTCTTAATTCTCTTTCTTTGCGACCGAGACGTCGTACTCCAGAGTAGGAGTGTTAGAAACCAGCTAGTTGCAAACGCAGGGGCTGCAGGAGTTACAAGGCTGCACACAGCTGGAGGTAACAAGTTGCGACTGGATTGGGAAAAAAGGATTCAGTGTGAATTATCAAGTGAGTGAATGAATGGAAAAGAACAGTGTGCTATAATAGGATGGGAGAAAAGGAGTGATCTTCCCAAACAGAGAGTGTATCGCGATCAGTAGGTTGTAGGAATGATGAAGTCGGCGTGAGAGAACGAGGTTGCGGTTGTCGAAGTTGTGATGAAACACGCCGCTTAGAGAGTGATTGGATGGATGGAGGGAAAAGTCTGTAGTAGGCAACAAAGTAGAAAGAAGTCAAAAATAAAAAATTGGAAAGAAAAATAAAGGGCGGTCGTTGTTGAGCAGGAGGTTTGCTTTGACTTGTTTGGCAGCTGCCAGCTGGAGAGGACAGGGAAACTACGGGTTGTAAGAGCTAGTACTTTCTACTGTACCGACGCACTTTGCACCTTGTAAAGAAAAAAGGGGAAGGCGAGACTTGGGATGTCGATCTTCTTAGGATTATCTTTTGCTCTTTTGCTCTTTTGCTCTGATTGAATTTTACAAAACGTGGATCGAATGTGGGCACAGCTGAATAGAATACAAATACAGTATAATAGAGTACATGTGTGATACATATGGTTCCGCATATGATTCCGGTTGTGTTTAGACAACGATTATTGCCCAGGGTCTCAGCAAGATTCCGGGACTCCTAATGCACTGCATCTACATCGTACATACGTAGAAACTTTTTCGTCTTCACCAAGGATCCCACATACATACCACATACATACTGCACATCTAAGCCTTTTTCTTTGAGAAATGATGTGCAGCGTGGTGGTATGACGAGTCCACAAACGTGTAGCCTTGTACCGTTAGTACGCATATAAGTCTTACCAAATATAATCATCCTCAAGAGTGAACAGGGCCGGGATACCGCTAACGGAAAAGATAGAAACTTTAATAATTACTGCCTTCGTAATCCTGATGAAAGTGTGGTAAAGTGTGGTAAAGTGTGGTAATGTACATCCTTGCCTACTTAGCCTAACCTAAGGTAAGCAGCAGTAACTGACTCGAAATACATATGTTCTGATATTTCGTTGCAGCTAAAAATGAATGTAGATTTATGTACCTAGGTGTTATTATAGAATTAGATGATTGAATATGATGATGATTGATGAGGCTCCATTACCGAGAATAGGAACTGTACAGGGGTATAGGGGAATAGGGGGTTACCGCTATCAAGGCTGTCAAGGGCTCTTATGCGGGTTAGTGGGGCCAGCTCATGTCTCCCATGTCCCCCCATGTTTTATCATCGCGGCTAGCGTTACAGGCGGTGGGTTCTCATCAAATAACCTTCGCCAAATTCATCATTGAACACTTAGGGTAGGTCATCGGAAACGCCTATTGAAAGAAGAAGGCTGCACTGCCCCAGCAAGTCCTTTCCATTCTTCTACCGAATTCTAGTTTTCCGTTTCAAAAAAGCTAAGATCTACGTCATTGCCATTAAAGCAATCTCTCTTTCTTTTTTCTTCACATGTTCATCTCCCTGTCCCCTAGCTACTAGCGGCCAGAATTTTTTGTGTCACAAGTCGGTGAGACATGGAGGTACATGTAATACCTTTGATTGCATCATATCTCCAGTTGTGCGACCATTGTGTGAGCCTCAATTTTGATCATATTGTTACACTGCTCTCTTCCCCGCCTGAAGCAACAAACCGGATTGTTTTTTTTTTTTTTTTTTTTTTTTTTATGGTACAATTGTCAAACATTACCAGATAACTATGTTACCAGGGGGGGCAAAGGTTCTACATAACAAAGGCTCTCCGGAGCAAACAGTGTTGCGAGGATGGAATAACCCCCAACTACACTACAAGGACAGGGTCTGGGCATGTAACGATCGACATTATCGTGGGATTTGGTAAAATTGCACGATAGCCAGTCGAGTACCGACGATCTTCTTAGTTGAAGATGTTCCCGCAATTGCCAAGCAATAAAACAATCTGTCAGGGGAAATCAATCGCCAAGGACGCACAACGTGAGATCCGACTTGAAACGCGCATAACGGTTCGGCCACTACAACCCACCACAGCCCAACTTGGATTAGGCCTGTACGACGACATGACCTTTTAAGGTGTGAGGTGTACGTAGAGATGTGAGGTCTACGTAGAGATAGTTATATGTACGGTTTAGGGCAGTAAGGCCCCTTTTTTGGTCAGTCTAGAAGAATCACTTCTAGAAGTGGCTTTAGGTACCAAGTGCCAGGCTAATGACGCCGCATCCGTCCCTCTGTCTTACACTTCAACGTTGTGTAAGCCAGCAGTTATAATTGATGGTGCCATGCATATAGGTACTTTGCATCTAAAACGACTGCCTTAATTAATATTCGAGTCCCCCAGCTGCAACCAGATACAATTAATTGCGCTGAGCGAGGGATGCACGGGATGCATATCGAAAAACATACGTTTGGACAATACGGCCTATGCGACACGTGGGCTACTTTACCGCAAGTTGCCATAGAATTTGATTTCGTCACGCACTCCATAATCAAACCAAGCATAAACCTATAGAACTCTAAGGGTAAATCCTGAAAGGTCCCTGTTGCTGCGTAAACAAGGCGTCTTGGCGCTTACTGTAGTGTCTGCGGCCTCGTTGGTTGCTGATGAATTACTCTCGTAAATCTGCTAGTCATCATATTCTAAAGACAGAATAACCAGCCACAAGTAATTCTTATCCTCGGCCCCAGCGCGCGGATGGCGGGTCAAAAGATGATCGGCGGCCGTGGTCAGACCGAACGTCAAACGGCCATGTCTGAACAGCCTATTTCATCATCGTCGTCAATCTATCCGATGTGATTTCCACAGGGAAATAGCAATATCCGTCTCACAGATCAGACCAACAGCTACAAGGCGGCTGTGCGCCGATCTTGAAAAAGGTATGCAGCGCTTCCGTACCGTCTGATCATGTTAGTGGACCGTAGAATCCGGACCGGTCCAAGGTGAAACGATGGGTGTGCCGCATCCCGGGATGTTTCATACACACACGTCGGGATGGTGTTGAGCAAGACGTGCTGTCAGCATACTTTTTTTTATTTCCTTTGCGTTACAATCCAATCATCTCCCGTGTAAAGTCGAATCACAAAGAGTAACTAGTCGGAAGCGCTATTTACACAGAACTAATAAATAACGCTCAATTCTTAGGGAGAGCGGTTACTAGAGCAGAACGTTTATGACTCTATTCGCGTCTTGTTACCAAAAGCAGACATAAAGCTTGAGTATATTGCCGTATGCGGTTTACCAGCTCTCTTTTTTCGCTTACATTTACCAGTCAAACATGAGTAGTACAGCCGACTGTGCGATCGCAACTACTCTCTTATTAGTCTGTAGAACTTTGCAATAATATTTGATATATCTGTGTATAACAGTAAGAAACCAGGTCATAAGATATCTAGTAGGTTTCTGAGAGCTATTAGAAACCTCTAGGAATCTCGCCGTGGTTGTTGGATGGTGCCGCCAGATTATGTAGGGATCCGGCAAACCCGCGAGACACAAGCATCTCGCTATAATAACCTAAATAGGGAGAATATTAGATACATACCTACCTAACCTACTTACTATCGGAGCAGCGGAAATAATTAGGAATCGTGAGTTGCTTGTAACGTGAGGAGATCATCATCAACTAGCCCAAATGAGAACTAGCACACGCCATCTTATTCCTATGTGTATTCCTAATTACTTTAACCTACCTACCTAGATTGGAAGCCAGGTAAAGAACTTACTTGGTAAACTCTATTTTCGTAACTTCGTTGCTTGAGAAGAGCACACCTTTGCATTATACCTCTTCTTTGTGCTGCTCCACCCCGCGCGTCGTCAGCGGGTTTTGACGGGTACCAGTAGCCGGGCCACCCATCATCTTTCCGGCCTTTTCCCGCATATCACCATTATTCTCATCTGGTATCTTCCCTCTAGCCCTTCTCCTCCTCCTGGCGTCTACACTCAGCCTCCAGTCGTTGCCCCATTTGATAGACACGTACACGCAGACGGTGCCCGTGAAGACGAACAACGCGCTGATGGTCGAGAACCAGCCAACTCCAATGCCTTCGATAGCTGGGAGAACCACTGCCATACCGGCACAGCCAAATAGGTAGCGAATCGCGTAGTTGCCCGCTGTTACCTCTGCTCCACGTCCTGGCATCACGTCTAAGCAATAGGTGTTTAAACTGGGAAAACAAAAAAGTTGTGCCACGCCTTGCAAGAATAACACTACCACCGTCAAGGGGATTCCACCGACGTCTTTCTCCACGCTCCAGCCGTAGATCAGGACGCAACCAGGGATAACGATACCCATGAATGGTAAAGCCGAATACATGCGGTCTTCTGGAATGCGCATGCCCCGTTTCTTAATGTACTTCTTCACGACGTAGTCCGCGTACCGCCCTCCGATGAACGTGCCGAGGAGATAGCCGCAGCCGGGCGCGAGATAGAACAGGCCGCCCTGCATCGGTGTCGTAAGGTTGTATCTTGGGTTCAATACGTACCGGATGGGCGTAAGTAGGGAATACATATTCCAGACCAGAGAGGCACTAGCTATGCCGGTGAGAAATAGATTCGGATACTCCCATAGTCGTATAACTCGCCACGGATTGATCATAGTAAGCAAGACCTTGACCTTCGCCGAGCCGCTGTAGCCTACTAGGTCGTCGATCTTCTTGTGGTAGATAGTCTCGGGAAGTAGGAAGTACGATCCGACGGCTGCGATGCCCGCCAACCCTGTTTGGAGCCAGAATATCACGCGCCACGACGTGTATGTGACGATGATGCCGCCTATGAAGGGTCCCAGGGCGGGCCCTACTAGTGTCCCTGTAAGGAACCAGCCTAGAGCCGTTGCACGTTCTGTCGGGCGATACATGTCACTGTGTATTCAGTAAGTGATCTAGTCCATGGACCATTGTGTAGTTTAAGGATAAAGGGGTAGTGCTAACCCAATGACAGATGCGCCGACCAAGATGAAGGAAGTGCCTTCAAATGCCGTCAGGAGACGGAACACGAAGAAAGCTCCTAGATTCGGCGCCAATGCCGTACCAATGCTACACCCGAGGAATCCTATAGCCGTTATGACAGTGATCTATAATAGAAACAATGTTAGTTATTATAGATTACTACTATATCTATCTATTCCCCCATGCTTTTAGTTATAATATTAATGAGAAGTCCTTACTATTTTCCTGCCATAAACCTGGCTTAGCGGTCCCCAGAAAATAGGCGACAAGCCCATGAACAGCATGTATAGGGCGTTGATCATGTTGATAATGGGTCCCGTCGTGCCATACTCGGCCGCTACTTCGGGCGTAGCTGCTAACACCGACGTACTAGATATAGGTGCTAGGAATGAGCAGAACGATAAGAGGAACACGATGACTAGCTTCCGGTGAGGTGGCAGCCGGTCGTATACCTCATCAGGGACTTCGACCACCGAGTTTATTGGCTCAATAGGCATGTCCGGGCCGAGAGAATGGTGCGTCGAACACCGGTCGAGCACCCCGTCATCGGCATTAGGGTGGGCCGCCGGCCGGATGGACTCTATTGTGCCATCGGAGCGGGTCGAGGAGCTACTGGATGGTGGGCGGGAGGGAGTGTCCGGGACCTGGCCACTATGGCCAATGGTCTTAGAACTGGAGTCATTGGATTCGAACATTAGGAGGAGTTTCGTTTTTGAATTTATTTATATACGTTCGATACTATGCGTGTCATCGTAGGCAAAAAGACTAATATTAGAAAGAGTCGTGGGCTTCACAACCAACGAGTAATAACAGGTTGACTCAGTGAAGGTACATTCGTCTATTACAGATTTTCTTGTCTGAAAATTAAGCAAGACTCGTCGAGCCATGAAGAATAGCGGACACGGAGAGTATATGAATGACTCCATTCGAAGCTGGTAAGGGGGAAGCACCTCCTATTTACACGAAGACGGGCCAATGGCCTGGAGGACAATAGTGGCATAACCTGTTGGATTCCTAATATCTTTTCCCTTTCCTGACATTGGCCCTCTCTGTCCGGGAACCACACAGCTGCCATGCCGAGTATCGGTGGGAACTTGGACCGAACTTGTCTCGTTAGGGCATAGCAATACGAGGCTAAATGACGGTTGGAGGTGGATACTAAACCGGCCGCAATGCCGAACGGGTTCCCCTATTGGTGCATTATCGGGAGTTGTCTGCAGGCTTGTCAATTTAAAAATTCGAAGCTTTTGCCAAGGACCCCGTAGATATGCCAACAGCCGTCTTCGACCTTCGAAATATCGAAATAGGGGAGTAAGCATGTGCTGGCGAGATTTTTTCCTTCTTCGCCTTCGAGAAGTCAGCGGCTTCTATAGCGGTGAGAGCCCGATCCGAACATTGCTGATGGGTAGCCCCGTAATGATGCCGTGGACTCCCGATGGAAACCAATGACGGCGCTAGCAAGCTAGTTTGCTGAGAATTGTGCGATAAGAAATCTTGAGAATATCCCTGCACGATATCGACGCTGATCTATTATTGCAACTACAAATCGGTGCTTATTCCCGGCGTAGCATTAACTTATCCGACGCGGGATCGGCATACAAGTGCATAGACGAGGTTCGTGAGCTCCGACTGCCGCTGCGATAGTCGCTCCGAATGGAGTCATTACGGCTTGCATTACGGCTTGATGGCTGTTTGACATGTGCTACGTCTTAGATGAGGACTTATGACAAATTGATGTCTTTTAAGCAAACTTCATCTTTGGTCCGACTGCATAAAGCTTGTGGAGACAGCCACTGAGCCACAGATTTCGGGAAAGGCACCAGAGTTACTCTACCCGGTCCAGTAGATTTGGAGTGGAAGTCTGATGTTGTAGTATCGAGGGACAAGCGGTGATCTCCCTCGGAGAGGAACTATTCGGGTATATTGCCCATATCGATATCTATGTACGTGTTAGGCATATAGGCTATTATTGCTAACTTGAGCAACTGCAAAAACATTTTGTTCCTCGAATGTTGAAGGTTACCCGGCTTGTTTAATTAATCGGTGCTGAAGGTTGCTTTTGGAATCTTCACATCAGTGGTACGTACCGGACATAGGTTTTGAATTTGGACAGTGATGTGGCTAGTTCAATGACTAGATACCTAAGCCACAATCTTAGCCGAGAAAGTGTGGCTGGAGCCTTAGGCGAGAAATGATGGGTACGTACCTAGCTTACCTAAGGATATTAGCAACCTTAAGGCTTTTAACCCCCCTCATAGAATTTAGCCGTAGTTTACCCCAATCACGCACACATCTCAATTCAGCGCAAAAATCGATTTGACTAACTGGAGCTCTACGAAACATTCCGCAACATTCAACCACCGACAACTTTCGACAGCGCAACCCCCATAACCGCCGTCAAAATGGTACGTGAATTGAATATTTCATTTAATTCTTGATACGCAGGTATTGCATCGTTAAGTCGCCCTCCCGCTGGTCCGAACCGTTAGGCGACATTTGTGAGGAAGGAAATTCTCAAGGCCAATTTGGTAGAGAGGACACGGCACGAGACGAGTAGACCGACTATCAGCGCCTTGATTTTCTATCGACCCGGTATTTCTAGCGCGAACGATCATGGAGGGCGACGATGCTTTAATACCTTGCGGCCGATGATATATTTCGGATCGAGAATAGCTACATTTTGTGTGCGATAGTGGGCTGACGGGAAACTTCATCTAGGTCAACATCCCCAAGACCCGTAAGACCTACTGCAAGGGCAAGGATTGCCGCAAGCACACCCAACACAAGGTCACTCAGTACAAGGCTGGCAAGGTATGTCTATCTTCGATTTCATGGCGTTGTCTCTTCTGGGTCGCGACGTCATGAACGATAGCTTTCTCGACTGGTTTCTAACGTACACCTAGGCCTCTCTGTTCGCGCAAGGAAAGAGACGTTACGACCGAAAGCAGTCCGGTTACGGTGGTCAGACCAAGCCTGTGTTCCACAAGAAGGCTAAGACAACGAAGAAGGTCGTGCTAAGATTGGAGTGCGTTGCCTGCAAGACTAAGCTACAACTGGCACTGAAGCGATGCAAGCACTTCGAACTTGGGTACGTTTCAACTGAGTATCTCTCCCGGCACAACTATACTAACAAGCTTCTAGTGGTGACAAGAAGACAAAGGGTGCCGCCCTGGTGTTCTAAACGCGTTTCCTACTCGAGTCATTGTGCACGTTCTTCATTCATGGCAATAGGGTGGTTCATTACGGCCGGGCATTCACTGGCGACGGGAGTCTTTGATACTCGGAATGGGAGCAGCACATAGGTCAGAATAGAACCGAATCTGCTCTTCTGAACTTCATTATGCCGTATGTGACAAAATGCCAGGAGTGGAGAGGCAGCGAGAGGTCAATGGACTTGTTGCTCTTGACAGTAGGGATGCTGGCTTGATGCCTTCTCTACGATTACGATATTTGATGCCATCACGCGTGGGAATACCCGGTATCTGAGCTTAGAATCGTTAATCGATCGCATTCTGTGACCCGAGTGTTCCTGTTCAATTTTGACTTGATTATTCTCTAGGGCATGTATCCAGTCCTTCATCTTGGCTGTATCGTCTACAATTACGACTGCCATCTCATTCTGCCCATCTGCTTTCCTTGTGATATACCAACCTACTTTTACTGTCCTGTCACCTAGGATTTACCGCTGGTATAGCATAATTATGGTTACTTTATCCCTTGTATATATGGCGAATATGAACAGCGTCCTTTGCTGTTTCTCCTATAGACCTAAGTGATATAATTTCTGGTCTTTAAATTCTACTAGGTGCTTCTGGACCCTGCATAGATGAATTTGGTATTTATGAAGTCCATAGAGGGATCTTTCGAGATTAATCCGCCATATTGATTCTAAAGACTACCTAAACATGATGAGCGGGATCTTCCTAATCTAATGCCTAACTGAATACTTAGAACCCCTCACCCATCTGAACTGTCCGACCGCCACCATACCACAGCGTCCCGACCCGCACGTCCAAGCCCTTCTCCTGACCGATAATCCATTCCCCAATCAGCTTCGAATCGGCGTTATCCCACACCTCCGCCTCCAACCACGCATTGATCTCGTCAATTGTATCAACCCACTTCTGCCTCTGCTCAGACGTCGCATGGTCCGCATCCGTGAGATACCGACCAAGCGTGATATGCGCGCTGGGCACAACATACCGCGAGCTAACCGTCACACCGGCATCCTTGGCCTGCTCCCACACGTCTCGTCGTAGGTGGTGGTACGTGTACGAGTCGCCTTTTCGCAGCACCTCGACGCTGTCGGGCGCCGTCGGGGCGGGCGAGAGTGGTGGCTCGCTGGCAGCTGGGAGGAACGATAGCGCGAATGCGGATAAGTCGTATGATATCATGGGCTTGACGAGCCGCGACCGGTGGCGGTGCGTGTAGCTCGCTATGTGCGGGATGGCGGGTTTCAGCGTCTCCTTGAGCGCTTCGATCTCGGCGGGTGTGCGGGAGAAAGCTACTTCTAGCGTGGTGATGTGCATGCGGTGGAGGGGCATGAGCCAGATTGCTGGGGGGTTGTTAGTGTGATATTTGGGATTTGCATGGGAAATAATGAGAGGGAATAGGTAGTTTGATATGTTGGAGACGTTGCTCTTTTTGTTATTGCTTAATCTTGTTAATTAATCGACTAAGGGAGAAATTTGAATTACCTGGCGCAACAGCTTTGAGCCTATTCTGAATTGCTTCTGCGAGTTCTAGTGCGTGGATTGGAGGTCGACCCCAGAAGGTCATGCAATATCTTGGGTCTTTCTACTATCTGTTAATAATCCGAGCGAGGAACCAATATCCTAGGCCATTTTGGAGTCACTCCGGCTTGGAGAGAACATTAAGCCGAATACGTTGGCGTGAAAAGGAAGAGTCATGACATACTGTCCACTTGTTAGCATTCGTTGACTGGGTAAAAGAATCATACCAAACTCGAGGGATGAAGATACCCTGTTTCGCTGGGGTTATTCTTGTACTCACCAAAGCCAGGCTCTATCTGGGGATTTTCCAATCGCAGCAGATACTGATCTATGATCAGCCCCGTGTAGTCAGAGGCGAGAAACTTGGCTCTCTGCTGCGCGTTACGCTTTACGCGGTGGGCGGCATATAGCTTCTGGATTTTCGCCTGGACTTGCTATCAGCTCCCACCGCAAAATATTTACGTGGCTACTATTCTCTACGCGAACGTATTCCGATTCATCAGGTAAGAACTTCTCTTACTAAGTTAAAGAAAGCTGCTTATGTTCAGATACGTAGACATGTATCCTCCTAAGTAAGACTGGGTAAGGATAAATGTAGTAACGAGAGGGCTCACTCAACTGGTTCATCATCGCAGGTTTCTATTAGGGCATTGTAAGGATTCTCTCCTGGCTTCAGAACTACCCCGGACAAGTCTACCAGCTTGTTCTCGATATCGGTAGACTGAAGAGCCGACCCCATCTGGAATTCTGGTTGATATTAGAGGTATGTTTCCTTTCGCGAGTATAGAATGAAGTATTCTCCAGAGAATATAACGTCGAGTATCCGATAATCGGATGTTAGAAGTAGAGTAGCGTGCGGCTGAGAAGGCACTGTACAAGTCACCCTTCTGATTTATAAATGAAGGATAATATAATTTATAGTACTCTTATGAGAAACTTACCCCAATTTAGAATTATACATAGATATATTGTGTTACTATTGCTCCTTCTGTTTGAGCTGCTCTTCCTCCTAGAGAAAGGGGAATATTAATAAGCCAAGACTTCAGTCCTTAATATCTTTGCTGGCATGAACAATTATGCTTACTAACCAATCACGTGCTACAAAGCATATCCTAACTTCACTTGAGCTCTTGAGCTTCTTTCCCTCATTTTCCTCTCGAAATTCACTAATTGTAATATTCCTAAACGAATATGGATATGAATGTGCGATAAATACCATCAATTGCTCACTCAATTAGTTTGTACATACCTCACTTCCCGATTAAATTGCCTGCTGGCCTATCTCAATGGCGTAAACTTCCATAACTTTGAGGTCGCGTTTGCAACATAATCAAGGTGTGTTTTGATCAACGTTAAGAGCACTGGCACTAATATTTATTATATAGAAACTAATATCATCGTAGTGGGTTTCGAGTCTGATTTATCTCCCAAATGAAGATATCTCATTTCTGGTTCATATGCTGCCGCTATTCGGCAAGTTTCCGAGCATCTATGCGATGCTAGCCTTTATAGAATCGTCTCGCCTTATGTCTCTGGGAAATTTGAACATTATTCAGAATGACCTTTATTTATAAGTGCGAGCTGCTTTCATTCAATCTTTTACTAGCCAGCTATTCTCCTTTCGTATATCTTTAGGGTTTTATAAGATAGCAAAGCAGTCTTTGGTACATAATCTTAACCTCTTCCATATTTATCTACAGCTATTGATTTCTTACCCCCATTCATAATATCTCCTTCTCGGCTGGTTGCTACCATTGCACTGCCTACATACCACCTCCTTATGTTCACAGTCGACAATGGACTGGTATATGTTACTCTTAACTAATACTGCTTGTTACAACTAAATAACTAAAGTACGTAAGCATCTCCATACTCCCTGCATTTTCATGAAATATCCAAATTACCATATTCCCTTAATAGCTTCATGGACCTAGCCTATATCGAATGGACAGATATCCATGGCTTGCATGCTATTTAATACAGTCAGCGAGTATATCTTGTTTAGTTAATCTACTCTCTAGCATTGCTTCGATCTTTCTTTAACTGCATCTCCTCCCTTCATTCTGCTTAACCTCCTATTTCAGGCCACCCGGAAAGCTGGTACGGCACTCTGCCTGCACCGACAAAGCCCGGCTGGGGATCTGGTAATATTACTACATCCGAGGGAAAAATCGTGTAATCTCATTGTATGAATTCCGTTAATGAAACGTACTTTGACGATGGCCACGAGGCCATCCATGTTCAGTGTACAGGGATTCTGCACGTCTCCAGTTAGCCTTTTGCACGGCCCTGTCAAAGAAAAAGGCTCGAAAGTAGTAACTTACTGTTCAGCTATTATTCTCAATGGGCCATATATTTCACGAAGCCTACGGATCGACAGACTTAGTCTCCTTAGTTTTGCGATCTCTCGGACTCTAGTCTTGAGACAGCTACAGCCCAAAGCGAACCACTGGGAAATATGTGAATGGCCGGTGTCAGTGTCTTTTCGATAGATACTCGACTACTATCTACCATCTTGATGTTCTCAGAAATCCTATGAAATATATGGCTTTTCCGTGAGCTCGATGATAAGTCTCGAGACCTTCCAGACGCTTAGATATCTTCTCATGATGTTCTAACAGACGCCGTCTTTCGTTTACCACTCTAATACGCTGTATAGTTGAATACTAACCATAGCTCTCGCCTTAAAGGGTCTTGTCGTACGATTGGTCCTCTCCTAGAAAATGCTGTCTCTTGCGTCCTTAAGAGCTTGTTAGATACTAATGAACGTCTAGTCCTACTACTCACGCGAGTAGGCTCTGGTCAATTGCAGTCTGGCATAGTCTCTGTCGAGTATTGGGCTCGTCCCTGTTTGATAATCTATCATAACCGTTAACCCTATAGCCTGTGATGATCCTCTAATTCCTCCCCTGTTTCTCAGCCAGCCTCGGCCTCTTAGTTTACTGTTGTGCTATCCCCCATATTCCCTATGAGGCCACAAGTGACCTTATTCATACGCTCGGTACTACCCCTGGTGCTACTCCGTGTCTGGTGGTGTATAGTGATGCTCATCTCCTCCACTCCCTAGCTGCTCGCCGACTGCACCCCCTTCCTTGCCGGCGTCCCCTCGGCGCTCCCCGGCATCCCCCCGGCGCCCCCCCGGCGTCCCCCCGGCATCCCTCTGGCGCCCCTCCGACTGTCTGCTGTTACCCCCCGGCTTCCTGCCAGACTAAGGTGCAAAGCTAGGACCGCGCAGCCAGGCCCTAGGATTGTGGAGTAGGTTAAGTACGCAAAGCTGTAACCCTAGAGACCTAGGGTTTCTAGTCAGGTGTGCAACATTCTTTCCTGCTTGCCCTAGTTCTGCCCTTAAATTTCAGCCACTGTTGCTGTTTATTTCCAAAACAAATACATCTATCTTACCACCATCACCAATCCTCCAAAACCTCTCCTCTTCCACTTCCACTTTTCTCATACTTGCACATCTAATTTCAGATTTGCAACAGCACATTGGTTCCATCAAACCTCTTCTCAAATTGCGAATCGTGCTTTGCAAATTCTAGACTATCATCACCTCTCTATCCCTCTCCACGCGTTGCCTTCTCAAAAACCTTTGCCCTAGGCGAACTTTCCCTCTTACCGCGTTCGAACAGAACACTAGCACATCTCCCTTATCCTTTACTACGCTTATAAGTATCGCGCCTTCATCAACGTTGATTTACACCCGTGGCTATGCCGCCGAAACGCTCTGGCGCGCCACGCAAAGTGGCTGCCAGCAGCTCCCGGGCGAAAAAACGCGCCAATGAAGGCCCTCCTGAAGGAGTAAATCCTAACCAAGACCAAAATGGCGGCCGAGCAAAGCGGCAGAAAGTTGGCCCCAAGGAGCCCAACACTAACAACAATGGTGGCCGAGCAAAGCGGCAGACACAAGCCTCAAAAAAATCTGATGATCCTGAGGATCCTGACGATTTTGAGGATTCTGAAAATGACGAATATTATGAGGATGACGAGGATACTGGTTCCGATCCCAGTAATGGGTTGGATCAAAGCTTACCTCCAGTTTCGAATGTCTACGCTGCTTTTCAAGACATTGCACGCCGATCGCATGACTTGCTCAATGATAATAGCCGAATTCATCTTCGGGTCGCAACCATGTGTTCTGGCACGGACGCTCCGATATTTGCGTTAAAGATGCTTGAAGAATCATTTGATCGAATGCAACTCGGAAGACAGTTCTTGAAGTTTTCTCATATCTTCAGCGCTGAAATCGACCCGGTCAAACAGGCATATATAGCGCGCAACACAGAAGGAGCTATCATATTCAAAGATGTTCGAGATTTCATCGAACCTAAAGACCTCAAAGCGTAAGTCTATTTGTCCCTCATAAGCGGTTATCCACATAGCTAATAGTATACCTAGGCCTACTGCAATGGGTGCAATGGAAAAGATCCCCGGGGACATCGATCTTCTTGTTGCCGGTTGTTCTTGTCTGGACTTTTCCACGCTCAACTCACAGAAGCGTAAGGACTATTCCGAAGATGTCATTACGACTGGGAAGAAGTTAATGGATTACATCGAGAAAAATGGTGAAGGAAATGGCTACGACGAATCGCATTTTGAAGTGGTCAATGATGGATTCAACCGCCTTCTCATGAACATAAACAACATGGGTACTTCGGGTCAGACATTCTTTTCGATGCTGAAGTATGTTAAGGATCGACGACCTAAGGTTGTTATCCTAGAGAATGTCATGGGAGCTCCCTGGAAGAACACCGCAGACATATGGTTCCCTTTTGTCGGATATAAAGCCGCCTTCGTTAAGGCAGACACCAAAAACTTCTATATCCCTCAAACTCGTAACCGCGGCTATCTTGTTGCTGTTGATAGGGGCGTTTTTGAGGGCAAGATCGCAGACGACATTATCGACCGATGGTCTAGTTTGATGACAAGAGATCTTGTGAGACGCGCATCTACCCCTATAAATTCGTGGTTACTTCCTTCGGCTCACCCGTTGACCGAACGAGCCCGCCAAGATGATTCGGAGAAGGCATTAGCTCCAGTCTCGAAGCCTGCCGACTGGGAACGCAGCAAGGCTCGTCATCTACTGGTTCGCGAAAAAGAAGGACTCGGCGAATCTCATCCACTCACAAATTGGAGTCTGTCCCAACCAGGGCAGCTTTATGATCGTATGGATCGACTTGTGACTCTCACACAACCGAAACGTGTTCTAGACTGCATCGACATCAATCACTTGCGAGCGTTGAAAAAAGGTTATGACTCGAGGTTCAAGAACCGTATCCATGATCTCAGCCAGAACGTAGACCGAACCCATATCAACACTCCGTTTGGAATAACTGGTTGCATCACTCCTAACGGTATACATTGGGTAACAGACCAGTGCAGAATTCTCTCTGGCTTTGAGATGCTAGGCTTACAAGGACTACCACTCAACCGGCTCGAATTCGCAACTGAGACCCAGGAAGATCTTCGGAGTCTCGCTGGCAATGCGATGAGCACGACAGTGGTTGGTGCCGCCATGGTGGCTGTCTTGAGAGCGATCCAAGAAAGTTCCCGCAGTCTAAACGACGTCTTTCCTGTACCGCTGAAGAAGACCCAGGTGAAAATCGATCGGCAGGTCATAGATTCCAAATTGGAAGAATTTCCAAGCTTCAGCACAATGACTGTTCGATCTTTTCAGATGTCATCTTTAACAGAACTTTTGGGAAGATGCCGAAGATATTGCTTTTGTAATGGATCGGCGAAGTATAGTACTGATGATTTCCTGGAGTGTACAATATGTTCTACCATTCGCTGCAAGTGGTGCGCTGGAAATCCGCCACACAGCTTCGCCCCAACAAAGCGGCCCTCAAACTTCTTACTCTTAGGAGAAGTAGAGCAAGAGGTCATGCAATTCTTACCGAGCGTAATTACGGATCTAGTCGCCGTAGAGTACCTGGTACCGACTAATCTTGCTCCAAGGACAGCCATCACAGCTTATCCTTCCATTATGAAGCATCTCGCACATACAACTTTTTACTACCAGAGCACCCACGTCACAGAGGTAGTGACCGTCTGTTACGCCAACCAAAAGGGATTCGAACTTCGAGCAGTGTTGTCGGAGAAAGGAATTACTTGGTACTTGTACCTCGATGCGTAGAGTGCATATGGGGAAGAGTTTCGAGAGCAGTTGGGTTTGGACCATATTCGGCTGGGCCAACCCATCGCAAAGGCCACGATCCATGAAGACGCCCTTAGTATCCTTCCCACGCCTGCTTCTTGGAAGTTCTGGCGTTTCAAATCAGAACGGCTCCAAGTGGAAATCATGAAGACTGGTGGTACTCTACAGGTCATGGCGATTAATGTAGAAAACCCTCTCGCACTTCCGGCGGACTTGCAGGAAGATTTATATGCAGCTTGTGGGAAGTACTACCATCAACCCGACTGTGACGCCCCCGAGAACAGTCTCCATGTTCTTGATGGAAGGAAGTTATTTTTCTTCAAGGAGTCTACCCGAACTGGAACACCCGATCGAGATGGTTATATCATTTCGGAAGAGTGTCGTTTATTGGAATCTCATGAATATCGGGAGGTCCTACTTAAGTTCAAGGCCTGTGTGGACCTCCAGAAGCTAGACCCAGGTAAAGGAACTCTCGATGCCCGAGTGGATGGGTTTTGGGTGAGCTCACAGGCTATAAACCACGGGCTTTCCTCCACTATTGCAAGCCACAAACGCCTAGAGTGTTTCAAGGTTCCTAATTCAAAGCGCTTCATCATTCGCGAAGAAGACCCGGAACAGCAGATTCTAGCTGAAGCGCTATTCACGAAAGATAAACATTGCGATCAATATGGCATCATCAATAAATATGAGTCTCTTAGCGGGATTACAGGAAATTGGGTCACGGTTGAAAAACTTGAGCTTCCTCAATTTCATGATTTTGTTTCCCATATTAATGTCAAGCTCGCAAGCCTTGGATGTCTCGAGGTCAACTTTGAGATAGTGGACATCGACTCTTGGATTAAGGCACTTGAAGATTGGAGGACTAGGGTTGATGTCCAGGACTCTCCTTTCGGACAGCTACCGCGAGCCCAATGGCTCAAAGTCAGTTTTAAAGCTGGTGCCAAACGCAAAGTCGGTACTAGATGGATTCAACACCACCATTCTGATGCGATGGCGGCATTCGAAAGCCACGCGAAGAAACAAATCCCACCCTTCGAAGTAAGGGTAAAGGTTCACCCAACCTTGTTGGAAGACGTACAGTTGGGATACGAAGGCCAGTTCGTCGCCGCGGTACAATACTTAATCAATCATAAGACTCTTGGGCGTACAGCAGCAGCATATTTGCCACCAACTAAAAGCTCTACCGCCAAATTAACTGCGTATACCCGGGTCGAGCGCAATGCTATCCTGTCCGAGAACATGCAAGTGAATTCTGGCTCCGGGAAGCACAGCTTCGTGCCCTTCCGGGAGTCGTTAAAAAGCTTGGCAGAGTTTCCGCTTCCTGCAGACATTCAGATGAAAATGTCTATAAAAATGAAATCGTTCGGAACGAAGCTGAGCAAGTCCCAGTCGCGATCTCTTGGTTGGACGCTTTGGCGTGAGATATGTGAGCCAGAATTCACGGAACGAGAGATCGAAGAGGAAATTGTTCCCGATCTTAAGCTCCGGCTTATTGGTTGTGCTGAACGCAAAGCTTGTCACAATGGAGGCATACTTGCGGACGACGTCGGCTACGGAAAGACTATTATTATGTTGGCACTCATGCACTGCCAAGAGGAGTTTGACAAAACAGTGTCTTCACAGCTACGTACTACCAAGAACCCGTGCCGTATGCATCTAAATGCTAGTCTTGTGTTGGTACCTTCACATCTAGTCGATCAGTGGGCTGATGAAGCGGGAAAATTTCTCCTCATCAAGTCTACGGAAATAGTCAAAATTAAGGGACTCGGCGACCTGAAGGACACCGCAGCTTGGGGTACCCTTAATAAGCTTCAAAAGGCGAGGCTTGTTATTGTGAATGTTGCATGCATTGCAAACATTGAATATTACGAAAACCTTGCTAAGTTGGCAGGATCTCTTAATCCACCCTGCGTTAGGGATAATTTCAGAAAGGGTTCCAGCGCTGTTCCTCTCCAGTCTCGCGCCTTTGAAGATTGGTATGAGGATGCAGCGTCTGCAGCTGGGGACTATGCCGGAAAGCTGTTGAGATTATGCACAACAAACTACAGTGATGGAAAGCTCATGGCCCTGTATCATGAAATTGAGGGCCGCCGAAACGCGCATAGAAAAGTATATCAGGACTTCTCAAAGAACTATGAAAGTTCGGTTATAAACTCGGCTATGCCAGTGCAGCCAGAAGCATCTCAAAGATTCAACTCACCTTGGGAGATGATTCCGTCCAAACCAACAAAATTCACTCACGTGTTAGAAGCTTTTACCTTCGCTCGAGTAGTGTACGACGAATTCTCCTACGAAGGATTTCCATCAACCCTTTTCGTCGCCAACTCGCAAGCCCATTCGAAGTGGGTTCTATCGGCAACGCCACCCACTAGAGACTTAGCAGCTATATGCTATACCGCGAAGCACTTTAACGTTCACGTTGCACGACCAATTCACCGCCGACAGGGGATGCCTCGGATCACTCATGGCCCGGAGTTGGAGGATAGAAGTAATGCGGAAGATTTACAGCTTCTCAAGTTCTCGTCAGACCAGACCATTCGTGAGAGACACCAACAGGGAATGAAGTTCCTGGAGCATTTTGCGACTTCTAATCCCCTCGACCAAGATCTTTCTGGTGGAATTGAGGTCGAAGAAAAAGTTGTGGTATGCGAGATGAGTCCTTACGAATTCGTCCACTATCACGACCTAGAGCAAGATCTGCGGGCTCATAACTTTGACGCGAATATGCTGCCAAGGGAATCCCGTGTCTTCTTGCAACCTCTGGTTGGTGACGAATGGGGTGCGGACGGGAAGCAAGTCGGCACCAGCGCATTAATTCACCGCTCTTCTCAGGGAAACTGGCACAGGGGAGAATATTCCACGTCATGTCTTATAGAACAGCGACGTTCTGTGCGCCTCAATGCCCTTCGAGTTTTCAGAATCACAGCCGAGAAAGCCATCTGGCTCTCCAAGCGTATCTGGGACAATGAGAAGGAGAAGAATTTCGTCAATGGTAGAAATGCCACCACTGATATCTATATGCTTCTTAGAGATATCTGGAGGAAAGATCTCGCCGAATGTGGTGGACTTGATGCCTGGCGTGAGCTATCACGCGAAATCGTCATCAAGAAGGGAATGCAATATGAAGAAATGGTGAAGGCTGTCGAGACAAGCCACCCTGACTTCTGCATGAGCGAAGAGAGATTTTTTAATGCTCTCAACACATTGACCTCAAACACGTGGATTGACTATTACCACTTGAAGTTCGATGATCTTAAAGCCATAGACGAACAAGAAGCTACTGCTCTGCTACAGGACCTGAGTCGTGTCAACAATGGCGAAGGTATAGATCTGATGGGGGGCGACGTGAAAACCGCTCTAAGCATACTTGTCGAAGAAGGCCAAGGACAATATATGAGACCAAAGGAGACTATAAAGTCGCTAGAGACGAGGGTCACAAATGAACAAGTGGATGCAGCCAAGAACAAGCCAGGCCTTGAAAGCCTATGCCGTGCCGCAGGTCTCTCTTTCAAGACCTCTGCTAAGAAGAGCGATCTCACGACACTCTTAAAGTCTTATGTGAAGGGAGAGCTTGAAGAATCCAATTATGTTGGATACCTCAAATGCGGGGCGATGAAGATTTATAGGTATCCCCTAATCGGTGGAATGACCAAGATTCGAGGTGGGAAGTATACCTTCACTGGAAATGATGTGAGCAACACGTCGATTGAGTTGCGCAAGACTTTTGAGAAAGTCATTTATGCCATCAGACAAGAGCGAATTACCAAGAATCTTATGTCGGATAAGAAGGAAATGAACTGCGATCTGTGCGGACAAATGGTGCCCAGAGAAGAGCTACACATCGTTTGCGAATGTGGCCACCTACTTTGCAAAAAACATCTCAACTCAGTTCATTGTGGCGGAGATGATAGTGAGCGTTGCTCATCTTTGCTGAAAGACGCAACTATGTCATTGAAGATGGTCAACAACCCTCAGCGGCGTCTCGACCTCGGTGTTGGCACGCAGAAGGATGCCCCGTGCCCTAAAATCAGCTCCAAGTTCCAGATGTTGGCCAACACAGCTAAAGCAATTCCTGCTGGTGAGTTTGGTCTTGTATTCTTTCAATACAACAGCCAGCTCGAACAACTGAAGCACACACTGAGAAAAAATGGAATTGGATTTTTCCATCTCACTGATTCCGAAGCCAAGTCTCTCAGTAAAATGGACGATCAAATGAGGCCTCTTCGCAAATTACATAATTTGAAAAGATCCGACCTTCACAATCGATGCGACGAGCGTGGCCTTCAATGGTCGGACAAAGAAAGTGACGAAGAATTAAGAGGCAAGATCAACGGCTGGAAGAAGCAGTTTGGAAACAGCGTAAAACATCCTAAGCTTCGAATCTTGCAGATCAATGATGTTACGTCCGCAGGCTCGAACTTTCAATATGCCAATCATGTCATGTTCATAAGCCCCTTTGTGGTAGAGCTACAGGAGAACTACGATTCCTGTATGAAACAAGCGATAGGCAGATGCGTTCGTTATGGGCAGAAGAAGACGGTGCAGGTTTACCACTTTGTCACCGCCAATACCATAGAGGTCGACATCTTGGAGTTACGAACAAAGAGTCACGTCCTTGTTCGCCCCGGAAAAGCCATTGGTAGACTCCGACCCGCTCCGCCGGTGGGCAATGGGATGAAGGATCATAGTCTTGCCCGTACTGGCGAAGATACTCTCATGTCTGATGCGCCTGGAACTTCCCAGCCTGGTAATGATGATTCCGACATCACTATGCCCGACCACATTGAAGCTTCCGATACCTCGGACAACTTAGATGGAGAAGAGAGGATCGGATCAAACCTGACCACCCAGGATATTTGGAAAGCCATGAATGAACAGAACTGGCTGACCACGGTGGGCATTGAGTACTAGTTCTTGACTACGAAAGGTAAGTCCAATATGTTCCTACGCCCCCTATTAAACCCGTTTTAATAATATCAGTCAAACTAACTAGTAACCTAGGAAAAGGAACGAATGAATTATAGATAGCTAGTGAAGCTATCTTGCATGTACGACTACGTACGGAGGACACACAGATTGCGATGATTTATCCACTTGAGGCAGAAACGCGAGCAGAAAACGACCCAGAAACCAGAAAAAAAGGAGGAAAATAAGAAAATACAAAAAAAAAAAAAAACAACTACTACGACTAATTTTGCAACTTTGAGCACGGATCGGTTTCCTATCTTCTATTTCCTTGATACGGTCTCCACGCCACGAATCATACTGCGACGCCGAACAGACAAGAGGGACGATCACGATCGCATGTACAGGCAATGATGGACGGGGAGTTTTTTTTTTGGACCTTAGGAGCAGCCTCCTTTTAATTACTCATCAGACTGTTTTAGCTACCTAGCTTCCTAATCAATTTGCATTTCCTAAGAAATAAAAGTGTAGAGTGCGTGCTTGAATTCCGATGTGATATGCTTCGTAGACGAGGAGTCTCTCTAGAATAGGGGTGTCTAGGTTCCTTGCCCCCGAGACTGGTACGGTAAGATAGTGTCTGAAATAAGGCACCTCTTGCGTAGATGATTCTTCAAGTAGCTATTGGAGTCTTAACAAAGACTGGCAATTAATCTAGGAGCCCTCTTCTTCGTACTAAATAGGGGTGGTAATACCATACATGCAAAGGTACCTAATCTTAGCGTCACATACCCATACCCCCCTCCCCCTTCCAACCCCCCTAAACTTCCCAACGCTTACCCCCCTCCTACAGTTTCGAAACCTCCCCCCTACGCCCCAGCACCCGAACCCTTATCCTCGAGCCATTCTCCCCTCCCCCCTCGAGAGCCACCTCCTGGCAATCCTCAACCGGCTCGTCGTTAGCAAACTGCACGACGACGAAATCAACCGCGGAACCAGGGGGTCCGAGCGCCGCCATCGGCGCATGCCATGTCCCCGCGCCGTAGGTCACGGCCTGCGAGCCCGTCGCTAGGAACGCGCGGACGCGGCTTAGGTCCGGCATGCCGCGGCCCGGGAGCGTGGCGTCTCTGTCTTCGGGCACGGGGAGGTCGTTGTCTGCGCTGGTGGGGGGCAGGGTCGGCGCTACGATGACTAGGTATTGGACTGGTGAGGAAGAGGAGGAGGAAGAGGAGGAGCTGAGAGGTATGAAGGTCTGCGTGGTGAAGGGGTGGCGCTCGAGGATTTGCACGGTGAATATGCCCGCGCTGTTGCTACCGGCACTAGCACCAGCACCATCCTCCCTTTCCGGCTCCAACTCCCGCGCGCCGCACACGAACATGGTAGTCCGCGGCGTAGCCCCCTTGCCGCTCGGAGCATGGGCGTATAAGTCCCGCAGGGGCGGCGCTAAGCCCCGGTACTGGATGGCGGTGCCCTGGTTGGCGGACACGGCGCCGTAGCCTTGGGGCAGGAGGGAAGAAGAAGAAGAAGAAGTAGATGCGGCTGCTGCGGAGGGCCGGAGGTCGGGGGCTGGGTTGGTTAGGACGGCGCCGAAGGGGGCGAAGGAGCTGGGGGTTAGGGGCTCGGTTGGAATTGTGAGGGGGGTGGGGAGGGGGAGGGTGCGGATGAGCATTTTTATTTATGGGTGGGTTATGTATGAGGTTGTTTAAATTTATGGAATTGTTTTTATTAGTTACTAAGGTAGGTAGGTTAGGTAGTTATTGGTTATTATCTTTTATTTATTTCCTCTTTGATTTTTTTTTCTTTGCGCAAGGGTTATTTGCTGGGAGGTGTTTGGAGGTGAGAGGTGAGGTAAGGTGAAGAAGCATGTGAATATAATAGGAGGTACCTATTCGAGATTGGGGGCGGTGGCATGGGTGTGGGGGTACTGGGATGGGTATAGGTTTAATGCGGAGAGGGAAATTGTTAGTATTTTGGTTGTATAACAGCTGCGATTATATCAGCTACTAACAATTAGGAGAAATGGCCTTGTCGGGTGGGTCTAAGTGCCGTCCAATCAAGAGCTAGAGTTGCCTTCAGGGTTGGTGTTTGCCTACAGTTGCGACATCTTTTTTTCTCCCAAAGGAGTTTGCTTTACTTTTAAGTTCTTCTAGTTAATCCATTTCAATTTCATCCATACCTATTGTTTGTCGCTCGTTATTCGTGCTCGTGTTAGCGTGTTTTTAGTTGCGCGCGTTGAGTCTGTTATTGATATTGATACCCTGTACCCGTGAGTTTCTCATCCCTAGTAAGGCGCTAAGACTAACAAGGATTTAGGCTGCTACTGTGTATTGAATGGTGGAATTGAATTGGCGCTGGGAATAAGTCAAATGGCGAATGAGTCAAGGTCCTACCTGTGTGGTTTATTCCGCACCGGACCAAGGCCCGCCCCAAGGCCGACTGGAGATAATGGACTACGAGGAGTCGAATTCTCCCCGAGATCTTCCATCGCAAGTTCAGTGGCTCCTACTGCCGTCGTATCCCCTCTATCACAGCCGGGCCGTGCCACAACGGTCCTCGATAACCCGGAATTGGCTGGATATTACTCGCCTCCAGGACCTCGGGCTATACTTCCACCAAACCCGTCCCAGGAATTAAGGGGCTACTATGCCCCTGAGCCGGCTCTGGCTCCCGCTGTGCAGCCGAGGGTCCATCCTACGAAGGTGGCATATTCGTGAATTTATAGATGTTTCTCTATCTCGCGGACATACGATCATCAGACCCTTATGCTTTCCTATTGAGGGGGGCCACAAGATTACACATATACCATATATATGGGGCAAGAAACTGATTTGGTGGTTTATTCGGCGTTACAATTTACATCACAAGAAAGCCCCCTGGGTGATTGTTCGTCTCATTGATGGGTTGGGTACTTATAGCCTTACGATGTAAGCTCTCCGCAGTGACGAGCCACTTCAAATATTTACGCTAGATTGAATATGTCATGTGGGAACTACGCCGTTCATTATGATGAGATCAAAGATATATATTTAAGTAAATACATGTAAGGACACAGGTGAGGTAAGTAGATGTATTCTTCTCTTGTTTGCTTTAGTTACCACCTTAGTAAGTAGTTACATAAACTATCTAACTCAAAGACAAGGAGGTACTATATCTACTCAGACCCTGATAGCAATAGATACTTAAAGCTACTTTAATTCGGTCAGTTGTTACACCGTTGCCATTGCTAATTTTCACTTCTTATAGGTTTGTAACTTATATGGTTCAATTGTGGTCGATTTCATCCCATCTTCTTAGATCAGAGGAAACCAATCACCTCCAAATGAAGTTTATCTCAGTCATTATGTTACCCTGACTCCTCAAAGTTATCGTTTGAATATTCCATCCACCTAGTATGCTACTCACTCAAGCACTTGCTTATATCCTCTAATGAAGTCAGTAACAGCTTTACAATCAGTCTAAAATATTTTCAATGTGGTGTGGAGATAGAATATCCAGGGGTACTATTATTGAATAGTACGTTATATCTCTAGCTCAGCTGTATCACGGATCATTATCACAATTTTATTATTTAGATATCTATATCCGCACTGCTGCGTCGACACGATGGATCCGACAGAGGCGAATGAGGAATCTGTACAAGACTCCAACAGCGCAATTGATAATGCTGAAAGCGAGACGGCTGCACAGGAGCCCAGCGGTGCCGACGAGCTAACTACTGACAACTTTACTTCTACACCTCTTAATCTGGGACATAGTGATACTGTAGCAGCCGAGAACGAGTTAAATCAACCGGCCGAAAATATAACCATTCCTCCTTCTCCTAACATAGAGGTCAATGCTCCTGTATCCCCCGAACCAGAAGAACCAGAAGACAGTGCTCAGGAAGCCGGGGAATCACATCAAACGGAAACCAACGCGTCTGTACCTACCTCTCTTAGTTCGCCCAGTTCGCCGGCCAGCGATTCTTCGTCTGGCACGCTAGTGGGCAGTGAGGACTCATATCAATCATCTGCTGACACGTCTATTTTGGCCCCTCCAAATTTTGCGATTTCTGCTAGATCGGAGGTCAATTCACATGGATGTGCGCCCATATCTGTTCAATTTTCTTCTAATACCTCAGGTTCCACCGACACTCCTACAACGTATACAGTGACTGCGGAATCCTCCGCGTCAGTCTTTTATTCTCGTCTCGAGACCCCTCACAGTATGAACGACTTTTCCGCGTCCGCGAACGCTACGACAAGAGCAGGCTCAGTTAGATTTTCAAACATTGCCGCCGTCCAGCATCCCGACGGTACCACGTCCCAACAACCTACAAATCTTCCTCCGTCTTCTCCCCCTCAAGTCCTGATGTCAGATCCGGCCCAACCGGAACCCGATCCTGAAGTCGCTGCTGCTGCACCACCTCCTGGTGGACCGCCCCCGACTCCTCCTGTGATACCGGCAGCAGCTGCAGCACCAGACCCCAACCAAAACGCCGCTTTCCCCCCTTTTGTTCCTCCCTTTCCAGCTTCCGCGCAGCCCGCAGCTACCGCATATCCCCCATTTAATCCTCCTCGTGTCGTGTCGAACATCGCCCCTCCGATCGGACCCGGCGCTAGTCCTGCCATGCCGAATTTCAGTGGCCCGCCTATCATTATCCTGAACGGGTGAGTGCTTCCCTAGAAGGCGAAACCCAGCTACACATAACAAGAAACAGACCCAGCTAATTTGAGCACAGCACTCCTACCCCCGCCCCTATCCAGGCCGTCCCTTTTGGTAATATGAATGTCAACCCCCAGCAACAGCAGCAGCAGCAGCAGCAGCAGCAGCAACAGCCTTACCTCTGGGTCAACCCACCGATGGTAGCTCCTTCAGTGCCTGCTCCACAGCCTGGTACTCAAGGTTCATGGTGTAAGTTCCTAGAAAGACAAAATTCTCTCTCCGAGCCCATCTCCTAGTAGATATTTATATACCAATACATGAACCAAGCTGACATGAACCTAGGCTACCCCAGTCAATCACCCTTCTGGGCCGGCGCATTGGCCAACCAGGCAAACCCTCCCCCGCAGTTCTACACGGCGGAGCAAGCGTACGTCGCGGAACCTGCCTACATTGTGAGCCCGGCGCCGCAGCCGCCGCCGGCTCCGAGCCCGCAAGTACAGTACTATGTTAATGGTACGACGGGGCCGTTTGTGTATTACATGCAGTAAACACGGCGACATTTTATACTATAATTACGGTGCTGGTGGACTACTAAATGAGAGAGAGAAAGAGAGTCGAGGATATACCAAGCGCGAAAAATAACTGCTACGATGGAAACGAAGGTGGCATGCGATGTTTTATTTTACACGAGAGTAGACCTCTTAACGAGTGAGAATGATGACATGACACGGTCACTACGGCGGACATGGCCAGATGGGAGAGGCAGAAATATACTGCCATTTCTACTCTGGATCGGACACACGATAAGTAATGGCCTATTCTGCTTTCTACTCCCCCTGTTTTTCATTGTTAGGAGTAGAAAGCTATGCTTCGTTGCATTTGATAATTTTAGAGTAAACAGTACTATATAAATCGGCTGAACTACTACCACAAAGCGTTGTTAGCGACTTTATAAATGAATTACGTCGTCCCGGGTCGACCTTAGTAGATAGGGGTATATAAGGTAGGGGTAAGATACACATACAGTGCTTAATTACGAATAACACTGTGATACGATACTCAGCTGCCAATCCTAAGCCCTTAGCTCCGCGGCTGGAACACTCTTCCACGACAAGTATGTCGGCAAGATAGGCGGCGGATTCAGTCCCGCTACGTTACATGAGATCTCATCGTCCCTGCGGTAGACGTAGCAAGAGGTGTCGTAGAATCTGCTCCCCGAGCCTGTGAAGATAATTCTGCGATTTATTTTCAGCGATCAGACATAAGCTTTTACTTTGGAGGAGACGAGAGGAATGGGGGGGGAGGGGGAGACGAAACTTACGGATTCTCAGGGTCCTTGTCATCGCAGAACCACGTATGATTTATCGCAATATACCCAGTCGCGAGATCAAGCTGCCACTTGCAATCCAGGGACTGGCGCGCCCACGCATCCGACGACAGGTCCCCCGCAACATAATCCTTACACTCGTACCAACGCGCAGGATCGCTCGTAGGTAGATACGGGGTCGTCTCCAAGCCCTCGTACTCGACGGATTGGTACCCGTCAATCGCTATGAATTGGATGCCGAATCGCACCGTTGTCTTCAACGAGTCCGCAAACGTAGGCGCTGCGTAGAGCGAGTCCGAAGAAAATCCCATCTGCCATTGCGTCGAGAGCGCGGAGGCTATGGTGCAGCTGTAGCCCGAGGGAGGGAGCTCGAAGAAGGTGGTTTGGGCTAGGGCGGTGCGCTCGGTCACGGTGCCGTGGACGGTTAGGGGGAGCTCGGTTTGGTGGCAGGTTTTGATGGAGGTGTTGGTCGCGGTGTTGTTGTGCCACGAGCACTCTAGGCTCGTGTTTACGTCTCCGACTGCTCGGAACTTGGCGGGGGGGTGGTCGTCGTGCCCGTTGCAGTACCATCGCTGGTCTATCGAGAAGACGCCTGTCAGGGGGTTCAGCTTGATCAGGGAGATGATGCGGTAGTTATCAAAGGGCGAGCGTGCTAGGCTGCAGCCCCACCAGCGCTCGTAGCCGTACCGTCCGTCGCGGTTGAGTTCTTCGCCGTCGCCGGTGCATGTTAGGTTGAAGCCTGTCGAGGGGTTGTGGAAGGTTGCCGTTAGGTCCCCGGCGTTGTATCCGTTACACCACCTCTCGTTCCATACCCAAGAAGTTACTATCCAAGTAGGCGCCTCGGAGGTCTCGAGGCAGCCGGGGTGGTTTACACCTTCGGGGGCGACGTTTGGGCTCAGTTCGATCGGCTCGGTTAGTAACCCTTTGATGTAGGTTGACTTGTTAGATTCGATGTCGACGGGCGCAGTGCCAATAGCGCGGAACGTAACGCTGGAGCAGTTAGTTTAAGACCTTTCCCCGGGATCGGCTGGGGGTACTCTTTTGGATACTTTTCTCCTCCGTTGCAAATCCATGTTTGGTTGATCGAGAGCTCACTCGTCTCTTCAGTGAACCTTACTTCCGTTGAATTACTATCGCAGGTAGACCACTCTCCCCCTTTATCAGTGCACGCTACCGACTGGTTATTGGCATGATTACTCAAGCTGAAACTCAAAGTCGTCCCATCGTCGCCTTTCTCGCAAGTAACGTTCTGCACGTCCCAGTTAGGATAACTGAAGGACGTGCCAATGCAGGGAGTGGGATTCCACGGCGTGCCTAGGACTTCCTTCTCAGAAGGTGGGATTATATCCATGTTGTCAGAATTCCAGACCGGGGTTACATAGTTCCCATCGAATGACGATATCTTGCCGTCTGCCGCTGTGCATCTTGTCTGTGTAGGATCGTCGACGCAATCCAAAAGCCCGGTAAGGTCAGTCTTTGCCGATGAAAAATAAGGTAGACTACCAAGTAGATTAGCTCTCCGTTATGTTGAACCCCTTTTAAGGGGCATGCTATGAGACCTACGGATGCGTCTTGTTTTCGACTTCACATATCCACATTTGATTAATCTCGACCTCGCTAGCGGAAGCTGCATACTTGAATATGGTCTTCGGGGTTACCTCATCCTTGTCACCAGCACAGTTATTCCACATCGGCTTGTTCGGCTCCTGTAAATAGGGTGTCGTACACGAAGTCGTCTCGTTATTCGCAATGTCGTGTAGGATGAAGTGTGCCATGCTCCTATCACCCGCTTCTATGCTCGTTTTGTTGAACTGGAAGGCGGAAAGTATGTAGGTGGGTTTCTTGAAACCTTCTTTACATGGGCTTGTGATTGCATGCGTGCCGTTTTTACTCTGCCAGGCGCTCCTCGCTCGATTCAGATTTGTAAATGCTCGGAGCTGTGCATTTGAAAGCTCGTTCAGTTTTGCTCCTCCTCTAAGATATATTTAGTAAATCGAACATGATTGGTATTTGTTCGGGTATTTTGCATACGGTTTAACATTAGAGCCCCCGTGGACACTACATACTGATAGGACCAATTGCAGAGCAATCAGGCCGATCAGAAGTAAGAAATGCATGATTATTCCCCTGAATATCTTATAGCTAGCCTTACGTCTTTAGGGACGATGTTATAGACTATTCACCAAATAGGTCCGCTATATCATTATCTAAGTGACATTGCGAAAGAGGCCGGCCCCTGGCAAGAATATATAGTATACAGGTAGACAGGTAGGTATTTCTAGAACGCTACAATCATTTCCACGTAAATTATTAGCTATGCGGAGTGTTTATCAGTTATTTGCATCGATACTACAGTAATATATAGCCGACATGCGAGAAGGTAGCATCCCAGGAAACCAATACGAGAGATGGATAAATCAAGCTAGGATCAGCAGGCTGAATTATGAGTGAACTGATTAAAATTCAGATTCTAGATGCTGCATTATTAATTAACCAACCTTGGAGAAAGAAGACTTGTCCTATAATTAGTTAAATTAAGATTTACGTCTAGGTTGCTTGAGAAGATGTTACCAAGCCATATTACGTATAGTTGAAAATTCCACATAGTCGGGGCAAGTGTTGGAATGACAAGGTAAGGTTGGTGGTGTACACCTAATAAGGAAATAAGGAAACGTAACACAAAGAGAGACGACGTAAAAGGAGACGAAACAAGTAACTGAAATGAGGCTATCGTGATGACTGTTGTTGTACTGATGATCAATTGTGTGTGTGGGTGCTACCTAAAAAGAATTGCCTTTTGTGTGGGGATTAGTCACGTGTTACCACGTGACTATCCTTACGTAATGATATCACAACACTGGCAACTTTTCTCTTTTCCCTCCTTTTCTCGTATGACGTAATTACATACAATTCAACTAATGCAACAGCAAGATCATTTTCAAAGAGGTATAGAACTACCACGGACGAAATAAATGGATTAATGTTGGAAGTCTTCAATATTTATTATAGGGAATAGTAAATATTTGAAGATTAATAGGTATTTTCAGTAACGTCAATTGATGAAAGACTACATGTACCTGATAACCTATCAAGTCTCATGATCTCAGAAGTTGAACGTCCAGTACAATACTAGCAGCACCCTCCTCAATTATATCTACACGTAACTTACAAGTGTGCCTTGTGTACTTCCTAGTATATAGTCATTGCCTCATAGACGGGTTCGGGGTTGCCTCGTCGAACATTGCAGCACTCCATCGCCTGGAAACAGGCACCAAGCAACTGTTGTGTTGTCAGGTATCACCAACAACTATTTGATCAAGTTAAGATTCTTTTAAAATCTTAATAAGTTCCCTCTCTAATCCCTTTTGTGAACCAACCTCTTCGTTCTCTCTACATCCCGAACCCACCTGTCTTCAGCCATGACCGACACTAAACCCACAATCTTGGTGTTCTGCTGCGGAGAACTAGAAGGCGGCCTTAAGAAGATCAAGGAGAAGACCAATATTTACCAAGCCTCCTACTCAAAGCGCAATGCCCCGGCAAAGCTTCTAAGTGAGCATCCATCAGCTCGGGCCATCTGGATCGTTGACCCTGATATTGCAACCCCAAAGTATAAAGATCTGTCCAGCAAAGTTGTCAACTATGCCCGAAATGGAGGAATCGTTATCCTGGGTGGTTTCTTCTCGACGGGCGTTGCTCCTACCGACTTCAACAAGTGGATGAAAGACGTGTGGGACTTGCCTTGGCGATATGGCCAGTACGAGACAACTACAGTTGTCTTTCAGAGCTCTGCCGTTGGCCCTCGGAACTTCTGGCGGGACGGTCTAGCAGCTGCATATACTCAGAAAGGGGTTTTCCTCAAAAATGTCCCTCCTGCCGACTCGTGGTATGCTTCGCCCCCGGGATCAACCAGCGAGTCTCGTGTTTTCGGTCCTGTCCCCATCCAGGCCCAAACATCTATCGCATTTGGCAGGGTTGGCAAGGGTTGGTTGGGATGGACAGGCGATATCCATAACCGAGAGGAGACTTCTGCCGCTGTGCGAGCAATGATGGGACTGAATATGAGAGAAGAGGAAGACCACTTACATCTCCCTGGGCTTTTACACCAAATGGTTTTGGAAGGATAGACTGAGAAACTCGTTTAAGCCGAACGTGTTATTGTCGGGGGCAATCCTTTGGACTTTCATTCTTGTATGCCAATGACACTAGGTAATCAACCCACTGTGTATTTCTAGTGAAATGTGCACCATGAAATTACCTATACATTGTGATAATGTAGTTCTTTAATTTCTTTCTTCGAGTCCCAGTATTCTCGAAGGTCTAAAATGGTGGAGGTGATGTCGTCGCGTCCGCTACACGATGTACTACTGAATAGCCGCTGTAGTGGTACAGATGAAAGCGTATTGACGGCTCAAGCTTCATGAGAGTATTACAAATTCCAATTTTCCCCAAGGTGCGCCAGGTACTTGAATTTGATATCTGTCCAATCATTTACTTACACAACCGAAATGAATAATTTATGTCCCGTCATTACATACATGGAAACAGCGAGGAAGTACATGCCGTTGCTCGAAAAGTAGCCTGGTAAATATGTACCTAACTCACTACTTCCGTCAGGTACATATAGTTGTGCTACCTACCTCATGTAAGACCTACATGTAGGCAGGTGCCAATGTTGGAACCTAGAACCATTGTTCCTAACGTTCCATCAACATCTACCTTAAGATTTGTCAAACTAATATTAGTTAAGGCTCTATGAAATCAACTCCAATTCAAAAAGAGGCAAGACTGCCATAACTCTGATACGTCGTTCTTTTTTTCACCTAGCTGTATCAAGGGCTGCCGGTATCCACGTCCGCACTGCAAATCTTATGCCAACCTACCTGATGTAAGGGGGTACTCAGGGACAATGGAGAATTTGAAGCCAACCTGCTAAAAGATTACTTGTCAATAATTCAGAACAACACACCAAGAAGGGAAATATTGTGGAAATAGAAAAAGAGCATTTGAAGGTTATGGTATCGAGTTACCCTGCTGCACGACTCGCCGCTGCAGATCTACCATCTGATGGAGTAACCAAAGGTCACCACCAACAGTCGAATAACTTGATTGATGGTTCTGCTAACCCGCTCTATCCTTATTCCATAGCAAATCCCTTCAAAATTTCAGAGCGAAAAAGTGGTAGAACATTTTATCTCAATATGTCACGTTCGGATTTAGGCACAGGGCATTTCGTAGCAGGGAACTCGGAATATTCTCATGGAAACGCCAACGTGCAGCAAGGTGAGGGCACGCAATCACATCTTCCCGCAGCTGCTTCACATCCCAGGGACAGCCTACCAACCTGGAAATGGAGGGCATTACTTGTAGCCAATGGTTTCCTAACCATAATGCATGGTAAGCTCCCGTTCCATTACTGCCCGCTCTGCCTCTACCACCAGATACTTACCTACGAGACAATTAGGATACGATGTCAGCAATGTCGCCAATATCCAGGCATCTATTTACAGAGCTTTCGGGCATATCGAACTACTGTCTTGGGTTGCACTCGGCTATTCGGTTTGCAATATCGCCTTGATTCCCCTGGGCCGTAAACTTTTCAAGTTCGGAGACTTCAAGACGCTGTGTCTCGCATCCATGATGTTCATCATTGGAGGCTCCGCCCTCTCCGGTGCTGCCCCTAATATCGAGTGTATCATCGCTGGACGTGCTGTGATGGCCCTAGGCTCAAGCATCATATACCAAGGGTATAGTTTAGTCCCTTGGTAGATTTTAGTGACAACTTTCTAACAGCTATCATAGGATCCTGAGTTTTAATATCGTCTTTACCTACCCCCACGAACTTGGCCTTGTACAGGGTTTCATCGGTGCTTGCTTTGCCATGGGTCTGGTGCTGGGCCCGATTATCGGTTCGTTTCATTCTAGTTCTTAAAACTTCATGATTCTACCTTTCAGCATGCGATAACTGACACGTACTTTAGGGGGCGCCTTTGCCAACAATGGCCATACTACATGGCGATGGGTAATTATGCCCCTTACACTCTACAACCAGGTGGAAAGGACTAACACCACCAGGCATTTTATTTAGTGATACCACTCTGTGTCATTAGTTTGGTACTTCAAGCTCTTTTCTACCCTCGTTATAGTATGCCAACTACTAGAACAACATGGATGCATATCAAGGAGGTCGATTGGATAGGCAATCTACTGCATATGGGATCCTGTCTCCTCTTTGCAATCAGCTGTACGTTTATCGGGTCGACAGGGACTTGGGGCATTAACTCCGGCATCGCCACCTGGATCCTTTTCACCTTCTTCGTGATCACATATGTTCTACAACAGGCATACAATCTCGGCACAACACCCGAGAACCGCTTGTTATCTCCTAGTTCGCTCCTTCACAACCGGACTATCCTCCTCACTTGGATCTGCACATTTTGTGCCGCCGCGTCGTACGGCGCTACGTTATATTATGTGCCCATATACTTCGCCTTCGGGCACGGGTTAGATCCGCTTGCGGCGGCAACCCGACTACTACCCTTCGTTGGCGTTTTCATATTCACTATTATGCTATGCGGCCGTCTACTTCCTACCCTCCGATTTTATAAAGCCTTCTTCGTCGTCGGATCTGCTCTCCTTCTAGTGGGCGGGGGCCTGTTCCAGATGTTAAGCACCGATATGTCTGAGTCAGCAGTCATGGGCTTCGAAAGCGTTGTCGCCGCTGGGCTCGGCATCCTCTGGCAGTTAGGGGTACCAGTATGCACAACCTTCCTACCCAGCACCGAGGACCGCCTGGATCTTGCTCTACTAAGCAACATGGCGCAGTTAGGCGGCATTGCGGCCTCGCTTTCTATCGCTGGGATGGTATATCAGAGTACGGGCTTCCAGTCACTAAAAGATTCCGTTGGAGGCATGGGGTTTTCCGATGAGAGTATCCGCGAGCTACTCTCGGGCGTTGATTCGCCAATCCTAAAGGATGCTGATCCGAAGGTACTACGATTGGCCGTAAAAGCCATCGTCGACGCTATTAGGGCATGCTTCATCATTCCGCTCACTGCCGGTTGTATATCGTTCCTTGCAGCCTGGAGCATGAACTGGGAAGCTCTCGAGTTCAATCAGTCCACTAGGCAACGACATGTACGGCAATCAGGTGATACCCAGCTTCGTCATCAAAGATCTGATGACGAATTTCTATTGGATGATCTGAATACTCGAGGCGAGACTGCAGGTGGTGTGTTGAATTCGCTCGCCTCAGTACATATTCGTGATAAGAGATAAGTAGCAACCCGTCCCCAAGTCGAACTTCGATAATGTTATAAACTAAGGTCTATAACTACGTGAAGGAACGAGAGTACTTACGGGCTATCATGTCTACTTCGAGGTGTAGCATTCACTGATTGGAGAAGCTTTATGATTGGAAGAAGTTAAGCATTGAATGATAACTTAGAGCTGCAGTTCTGTCCATAACCAGAGCATTTTACTATACGCACACAATTTCCGACCTTTTCTCATTAGACACGCTGCATACACCGAGTCTTCAAGCTAACTGCTCCCATAGAGTTTACATAGCCTATCACCTCATTACATGATATATGTCCGTCTTTAGATTACCGAATTACAATAATTAATTAATGCGTCGTAAGATCCATCCGACCTATTCTATCGGAATCGCGGCACCGTCCACCCAGCTAGAAGATGCAAGTCGCTTCTCGCGAATTAGGCCTTTATATTGGTAATAACAACGCCTCATATCAGTCTGACTCGCCAGGACTGTCTGCGAAGGTTGATCACCGACCTGCTCGGTCAAGCACGCAATGTCCGTGCCGACGTCTGCGTCGCCCACCTCTTGGGGGCCCTGCCATTCATTGTCGTCTCCCTGCCAGACCGATTGGATTTTATTGCTTGCGTCTTGGTACAGGATCCACGTGTTCGTCGTGTTGCTATTCAGCCGCCCGATTGCGAATGCCGCGATAGATGTTCCCGAAGGAATCGTGACGCCGGGCGTCCCTACATGGTCGTTAATACACGAAGAAGCTAACATCGGGGTTAAAGACGCTGAAAGGGTCCTACGTACCGAAATACCAAGCCACGCCCGTATCGAAGCCACCGAATGGGAATATAGCGAGACGGCCCGTTGGATCGCGGTAGGCAAGGCCTGCTGTATATGGGGTGTGAAAGCTACTCATCATGGGCACTACAGCGATACCAGAGTTGGCATCGCCCAGCGGAATATCATCCGGGTGGTCCCAACCCTGCACAGTGTCGTTGAACCAGCCGATGCCATGTCCGTCGTAAACCAGGCGATGGAACGAAGTGTTCGTGTTCTGATAAATTACGTACGGCCAATAGGCGGTCATCCGAGAACCATTCGGCACGGTGAAAGGCGTCCGGACCAAATTGATGCTGTCGACCTTGGGCTCCGTCTCGTCTTCGAAGAAGTTGGTCCCCTGGAACGTCGATGATGGATCTAAGTAAAAGAACTCAAACTGCGTGAACTGCAGGTAGATTGTCACGGCAATAGGAGTTCCGGGCTTTGCATCTATGTCGTTGAAGACTAGCGGAGTTGACCATTGACTGCTGCTGCTGCTGTACCGCGATGTGCGAATTTTGTTATCGCCTCCTTGCCAGAATAGCCGCGAGGTGAAGCCATTGCCTTGTATGCGCCGGCCCGTCACTGTGAGCCTTGTTTTGGGCCGTATTGCTGTCGTGTTTACGCTTTGGCTGGTGCTGCTGCTTGGTGTGGATGTTGGGCTTGGCGAAGATGAGCTTGAAGATGCTGGTTCCGAGGACACGTCTGATGCATGGCTTGAAGTTGCTTTGCTTGAAGTTGCTTTGCTTCCCAAAACACCGCCGACTACCGCACCTACAATCACTGCGAGAACAACCAAACCTCCGATTAACAAGTATAGCTTCCTCCGTTCACCATTTTCTCTCCGGACTGGCGGCTGCGGTGCTAGTTCCTTCGAACTATATGCTCCATAGACCTGGGGTTGATTGTACGGAATGGCATCGCCCTTAAAAGGTATAATTCCCGGATCGGATACGAAGGCGGGATATGCCTCCCTCGGTGGATATATGACTTCCGGGTCAGTGGGATAGACGATTTCGAGCCCGGGCTGCGAGACCCTGTGGTCTGGAGGCACGTTCATGGCCCGCCTTCTTGATCTTTTCGTAATTAATTTGCGGCAGCCTCAAATTTTGTGCCACTTCACTATTGCTGTCGGACAAGACAAGAAGATATCGACGGCCGTCCCAGCATTATGACATAATGCGAACAAATAATGTCTAGCAAACAAAAGCGAAGATGAGGAAAGCAGTTGTACGACCTGATGTACCTGCATACACCCAGCAAGCCGGTGAAGAGAATATATGTGCAGCCCAATTAAGGATGACACAGGGGGATTAAAGGACATCGGCCTCCAACGTAGGACTACAAAAGGTTTGCCAATGATGCAGCCAATGATGGCATCTGTAGAGGGCGCAATCTCTCCCATTTGGGAAGTAGGAGTGCGGCGCAGCAGGCCTCTCCAATCAAGGCTGCAGTCAACGCGAAGCTACCATGTAAGAATTCAACTCATTCGAATCGTCTGCGATGTTTTGGTTCCACCTAGACAGATCGCGCTTATATTTGATGTGTCTGTACTTGGTTGAGTTTAGAATCTGGCACAGCAATATCTCTCCATGGGGCTATAGTGTACCCGTTCATAGTCGACGGCTAATCAGGCAGGAATGGCCAGGATTAGCTGAAAGATATATTGGGTAAGCAATGTTTCATATATACTATGTAGAGCAGAGCCTCTTAACTTAAGAGTCTTAAGTAAAGCCATCACACGAGAGTATTTAGACCGATTGTTCGACGGATGAGAAATTATTGCGACTGTAAAGAATCTTATGGACCTTGGTCTGATTTTATTATTTGGCTTAACGGCTACGGATAGATGAAAGAAACAAGCAATGTGAAATGTGTTGCATTTTTGGACCAGAGCCTGCATGAAGACTTACATGTAGCAAATCTACCAAGCAGCCATAAACTCGTAATGTGAGATGTAACAATGTACATCCTATTTGTGAAAAAAAGAAAAAGAATACAGTTACTAACCTAGAAGTTAATACAGACAGTGTATATATCTGTACATATCCTCATAGGTACAACCGATATTAATTCTTCAGTAACCCATTTTAAGTCCAAGTAACCTTAGGTACCTACCTAGGTAAGGCATTTTTGGCAGGGGTCTACGAGCAAATGCGGTAAGTAAATGCGAGATGATTATACCCAAAATAGATTTCTCCTATCCATCATTAGCCTATAGATTTGTTCTAGAATACATAATTAGAGCCGAATGCCGAAATACGGGATACCTAACCCAACCCATCGAGTTGAGCCAGTTGACGTTTAGCGTCGGCTAATTCCCCTTCTCGAAACATGCGCGCTAAGTCTGTCTATCTGCGCGTATCAGGTAAACGAAGGGCTAGAGGTTCTAGATGGGTGGCGTTAGATAGTATAACCATTGAAAATATCTATGAAATGAAGCCGTGATGGGCCAGGTGCCTTAGGTTAGGTACTTAAGTAATGAGTCTAACACCAGCACAGTAGGTACCTAAGAAAACCGGTACAAATCACCACTAGGAGATACAATGCAAGACATATACACAGCAGCACCTTACAACTCGACAGCAGACCAAATTATCCACATGGTATCATATCATAATATTTGCCAGCCAAATCGTTAAATTGCAAAGCATTAGCTAACCTTAAGATCTATAACATATACTTCATAAAAAAACAGCAAAAGGGGTATCCGTAGTATTGATTCGCGGAATTCCAACGAACATCATCGTCATTATACATATATAGCAGAACTCGTCAACGTCAACATCAACATCAACCCGTAAGCGCGAATGGTATCATCAATCGTCAAAGCCAAGGCCTCTTGCCTATTTATAAACACCTCCACAGACGCCGGACCGTAAGAAAAGTTAGTTAGGCGGATAGACATACTTGGTCAAACCGCATCGTAGCTCCCAAACTCCAGTTTTTGTATAATGATCGGTTAGGCGATCATCTACCCCTATAATCCGGTTTTCTCGCCATGTTTACTACTGGTGGGGGACCGTCTTCATCAGGGTACGGCGGCAGGGGACTCTCGGTTCTGGTAGGACGTCGGCTGCCTGAAATCTGCTTTTCGGGCAGCGGAGTCTTGGGAGGTAGAGGAGGCGGCTCGATGCGGTGCGGCTGGAATGGTTTTATCATAGGCTGTGCAATAGGATCCCTTTGTCTTCGTGGGTACTCGTCAGCTCCCATGATCGCTATTTTATCACTGCCAGCAGCATTCCGGTATTGTGCTGGAGTGGGGGCTGTCACCACGAGACGGTCCGGCTCGTCGTCCGGAGGAGGTCTGATCGCTGATAACGAGGCAGGAGGGGACGGCGCCTTCTGCGGGCGGATAGTTATTTGGGGTGGAGATGAATGGCTGGTTGCAGGTCGGAAGCGATCATCGGAACTGCGAGGCGATGGCGGGTTGGCAGGACCGAGTGAAAGGTGGTCAAGGTTGTCTATTCCCGACTCGTATGATTGCCGACCCGACGGGCTGCTTCGGACCGGGAATGATGTAGGGAAGTCTCCTGGAAGCTCAACCGCTAATGGTGCACTTATTGATCCCATGGTCGGCTGAGACACGATGTTAGGTATGCGACCGAGCCTCTCATACCTCTGCTTTGCTTTGTGGATCTTTGCCAATTTTGTCGAGGACTCCTGCACCATTTTCTGCTCGGCATCTCTAGACAGATACCTCTTCGTGCCTGTGCTGATATCGCCCAATCGATCCCACTCGTTCATAGCGAACTCTCCAACGCCGACTTCGACATTAAATCGGTAGTAATTCTCAATATTGACGCCCCTTTTCATCAATAATTCATTCTTCATGCGCTCGTGAATCTTTTCGCAGCCTTCCACCTTGGAAATCAACTTCCTTCTAGCTTCTCCCCATTCGCCCATAAAGCCTTCATACCATAGGTGCTGATTTTGCTCGGTACCCTTTGGCCGTTTCCCGGTTCCTATGCTGATGAAGACGCCCACATCACGTCCCGGCCATTCGTTAACCGTAGCCTCATCGAGGGCAACAGGAGACGGGTTAAAAGTCCCAGAACCGTCGTCATGAAATACCGTTTGCCCAATTTTAACCGGCTTAAATGCCAACCCAATCGCGCATGTTGCCCGTCCAGCCTCCCAGATTGTGCAGTCGTATTCCGGGGCAGGCTCTTTTCTCGAGTCATATGAA